CAAGCCGTCCTAGGTCCGCGTAGAGATGGCCTAAGTTGTTAACTGTAGAGAGTGTTGATGTGTGCTCTAGTCCCCATGCCTTCTCTTTGCCTCGCAGGGCCCGCTGGTACATCTTTTCCGCCTCATCCAGCCGTCCTAGGTCCGCGTAGAGGTTGCCCAAGGTGTTGACCGTGTCGAGTGTTGACGTGTGCTCTAGTCCCCATGCCTTCTCTTTGCCTTGGAGGGCCCGCTGGTACATCTCCTCCGCTTCGTCAAGCCGTCCCTGGTCCGCGTAAAGGTTGCCTAAGTTGTTGACCGTATCAAGTGTTGATGTGTGCTCTGGTCCCCATGCCTTCTCTTTGCCTTGCAGGGCCCGCTGGTACATCTTCTCAGCTTCGTCAAGCCGCCCTAGGTTTCTGTAGAGACTCCCTAAGTTGTTGGCTGTATCAAGTGTTAATGTGTGCTCTGGTCCCCATACCTTCTCAAAGCCTTGAAGGGCCCGCTGGTACATCTTCTCTGCCTCGTCAAGCCGTCCTAGGTCCGCGAAGAGGTTACCCACGTTGTTGACTGTAGTGAGTGTTGATGTGTGCTCTAGTCCCCATGCCTTCTCTTTGCCTTGAAGCGCCCGCTGGTACATCTTCTCCGCCTCATCAAACCGTCCTAGGTTCTTGTAGAGGCTCCCTAAATTGTTGACTGTGTTAAGTGTTGATGTGTGCTCTAGTCCCCATGCCTTTTCTTTGCCTTGCAAGGCTCGCTGATACATCTTCTCTGCCTCGTCAAGCCGTCCTAGGTCCGCATAGAGAAGGCCCAAGTTGTTGACCGTAGAGAGTGTTGATGTGTGTTCTGGTCCCCATGCCTTCTCTTTGCCTTGCAGGGCCCGCTGGCAGGGTTCCCAACCGTACGTACTACGAGTCGTAGTATACGACCCGTAACAGTCACGTGAGCCGTTGAAACGTAGGAGAGATATGAGTCGTAACGTATGACTGGAGGAGCGCCCATTACAGACCGTAGTACGTCTCAAAAAGGCGACTTTTCCTACTAAAATAGGACCTAATTAGACACATGTGGGATCGCGTTAGGAGCGTGTTTAAGGTCACGTTCTTAGAGTAACAATTAGGTGAAAACTCTAAGGTTTATAGGACATTAGCGCTCACAGCGGAGGCTAGGAGTGAGGTGTGCTATCCTATGTAAATAGTCAGCTTTTTAGCCTGTAAATTGTCATTAATTCATCCACATCTATTATCCCACCCACCATAAGCCAAATGTCCCAATTCCTCTAGCGCGGCAGGCGTACTGCTTTATCCTAAGGATCCTCTAGAGCTAGCTCTTCCTAGCAAACTAATGTATCTTATTATGCTAGTTCTTATTACCTTACTAGGTTAAAGGCCTTATTGTCTTCCTCTCTAGTTTTATCCTAAGGCAGTACACCATCTAATGCCTGTTTAAAGGAGTACCTAGCTGACGCTAGTCTTAACAACAGAGTAGCTTTTACTGTAGAGTGGGATAACCTCTAGCTAGCAAACAGGAAGCTGAGGCCTAAGAGAGTCAGGTATCACGTGAAGCACAAGAGCTAGCTCTGTAGGAACTGGCAGCTCTCCCAGATTTGGCAGCATGGAGCAGATTTAGTGTACAACAACAAGGAGGACAGCTCTAAAGTAAAGCTATAGCTCTACAAAAGGTGCCACGCTAGGGGCGTTTACAAAGGGGTGAAGAAAGTTAACAGTTACACTTATATTATAAGCCACCTTAGAAAAGAACACAGGATTAACGTTTTTAAAAAAGGTCTCTTGCCTAACACACTAAGAATCTTAGCAAGTCTATTTAAAGCTGCTTATAAGGTTGCTAGCTTATTATATATTATCTCTTACAGTGTGTAGCAGGAGGAAGTGTTGCAGGTAGCAGTTGTTAATTAGGTTATCCTTTACAACATTTTCTTTAACACAGCATTATTAGCAGAACTTTAGGGCATTTTTACTTAGAACTAAGCTAATCTTCTTGCAGCTCTCTTAGTCTTAGATACTACATTTTCTTCCTATGTAAACAAGGCCTGCCTGCGCTAGAGAGCAGAGATTTAAACAATACTAAGGATAGCCTAGAGCAAAATTGTGTTAAGTGTTAATATATAGACTTCTCTAAACCACCTCTCCTTCCTAGGTGTAGTGTTACACTTTATTAGTATGTGTACCTTAGCTTATTATTTTAGCGCCTTAGCACTGTAAAAATTAACAACAACACGCTTACCTATGCTAATATAGATGTTAACTACTAGCACTGCAACGTACTTATTAGCTTTCGCAACCTATACAGTAACTATACAGGGGCAAACTAAGCTAGGGAGATTATTAAGGTTATTAATAACTTTAAAATTATGTTAAAATTCTATTATTTAGTAGCTAACAACGTGTTAAATAATAATAATAAAACTATCTCTGCCCTTACATAACATCTTAAAAGGCCCCTCACCTCTAAGCACTGTATACGCTGCGCTAGTCATACAATCCAGCTAGTAGTCAAGGCAGTTATATATAGGAAAGAGATAAACGCTTTTAAAGCAGCGCTAGCCTAAGCTGCTCCTTAGGATTAATTTAAACTATACTGTTAGCATAGAGTTATAGGTAAGCTCTATAACTTTGTAAACGCAGTGTTAGCGTTACATAAACACTAGGAGGCTTTTATAACTTTTTAAGCTACTCTTAACAACAAGGACCCTTTCTAGAGCTTTAGGACCCTTAATCTTATATAAGACAGTAGCGTACACTGGCACAGCGTCTATCTTATGCTCCTCTGCTGTTACAAGCTTAAGGACACTATCACTAAGTTTATTTATAAGCAGAGAGGCACTAAGGATAATAGCGCTAACTCTACTATCCCTAATAATGCTGCTTTTACTAAGATTATTACTAAAGATAAATAGGAGAAGGTTAATTACCTCTATAAGTTCCTTAAGGTCTTTTACTCTATAACAAAACACCTTAAAGGTAAGGGCTTGTACAGATCTCTATAGATAACTGTTGTTAACCTGCAACACCTATATACTAAGCTTCTCTAGATGGGGGATAAACTTAAGAGTAAGAGTAACAATTACTACCTTAAATCTAGCGTAGCATTTAGCACAGAGAAGTTGCTTACATACTAGGAAAAGTTTATTATAAAGCTGCCTGTATCTTATTATTGCGTTGCAACTATCCTTAACCCTTAGCTTTATCTTCTTTAGTTTAAGGACTACTAGCGTAAGCACCCCTTATAGCATAAGAAAGCTAAGGCTTTAATAAAGGCTGTTTTTTAAAAGTACGTTAATACTAAGGTAGAGGCAGAGGCAGAGGACAACAAGCAACTGCTATCCACGCAACGTAAGTTACTAGGTGGCAAGTATTATAATAAGGGCTTTAAGCAGACTCTCTCTGTGGACATAAGCCTCCTTACTAGCAATTATTTATATAAAAAGCAGCAGAAAACAACAGAATTGCAGCAATACTACAACAGTTACTGCAAAGACGTTACTATAGCTAAGAATAATAGCCCTCTATTTGCTAATCCTCTTACATAGTAAGAACAAGTTAGACAGCTTACCTATCCTACGCTATACAAAATTGCCCTTAACTTCTTGTCCATCCCATCTACAAGCTGCGACTGTGAGAGGAGCTTTAGCAGCAGTAGGAGGACTGTTACCTGTGACAGAAATAAGCTCTCTAGCCTAATAATTAAGGCTCTTTAACTATAGAAAAACTAGCTATGTTAGCGCTATGTTTATAGTAAATTATTGTCCTTAGTAGACTATATATAAGCTGTTACAACGTAACTTTTTGTAAAACATTAAAACATAGGAGAAATGTGAATTGTAACAGTTACGCTCTGTAAGTGGACTTAAATGTCATGCTTACGTTGAAACGTACTCACAATCTGAGAAGTTACAACCATCGATTTGGCGAGTCGTAACGTATTACGTACGGTTGGGAACGCTGCCCGCTGGTACATCCCCTCCGCCTCGTCAAGCCGTCCTAGGTCCACGTAAAGGCACCCCAGGTTGTTGACCGTGTCAAGTGTTGATGTGTGCTCTGGTCCCCATGCTTTCTCTTTGCCTTCCAGGGCCCGCTGGTACATCTCCTCCGCCTCGCCAAGCTGTCCTAGGTCCGCGTAGAGGCTGCCCAAGCTGTTGACCGTGTCGAGTGTTGATGTGTGCTCTGGTCCCCATGCCTTCTCTTTGCCTTGAAGCGCCCACTGGTACATCTTCTCCGCCTCGTTAAGTCGTCCTATGTGCGTGTAGAGGTTGCCTAAGTTATTGACCGTGTCGAGTGTTAGTGTGTGCTCCGGCCCCCATACCTTCTCTTTGCCTTGCAGGGCCCGCTGGTACATCTTCTCCGCCTCGTTAAGCCGTCCTAGTTCGGCGTAGAGAAGGCCCAAGTTGTTGACTGTAGTGAGTGTTGATATGTGCTCTGGTCCCCATGCCTTCTCAAAGCCTCGCAGGGCCCGCTGGTACATCTCCTCCGCCTCGTCAAGCCGTCCTAGGCTCTTGTAGAGGTTCCCTAAATTGTTGACTGTGTCTAGTGTTGATGTGTGCTCTAGCCCCCATGCTTTCTTAAAGCCTTGCAGGGCCCGCTGATACATCTCCTCTGCCTTCTTAAGTTGTCCTAGGTCCGCGTAGAGGCTGCCCAAGTTGTTGACCGTGTCGAGTGTTGATGTGTGCTCTGGTCCCCATGCCTTCTCTTTGCCTTGCAGGGCCCGCTGGTACATCTTCTCTGCCTCGCCAAGTCTTCCCTGAACCGAGAACATGTATCCAAAGCTATGAAGAGCCCATTCTATCCCGTTATCATCTAATTTGCCTTGAGCAATAGACTCCCAACACCTGCCTGCATGTCGCAGAAGCCGTTGCTGAGTAACCCATGAGTTCTGAGCATTGTGCTCTGGCACGTGCCTGGCCACACACTCTAGCGCAAGACCTGCTAGTTCTGAATCCCACTTTTCATTTACCATATGGGCCGTCCAGAAATGTACACAGCTATGCATTCCATACCCCTTTAGCTCTACTTCATTTCGTGAAGACTTGTCAACTTCCACAAGTCCATAGTCACACAGTACCCGCATTGTATCAGTGAAACTCAGTTCGTCCTCTGTTATTTGATAAAGCCATTCTGGCCCGCTAGATCTCCCTTCTTGCAGGAGCTCAAACCATAGATCTTGGTTATCAAAGTATGCCCATAGTCGTAGCAGCATTGCAGAGTGCTTGTTTTGCAGTATGATATGGTCTAGGGACAGCTGCCATGTCGAGTATAGCTGCCTGTCTTCGTACGAGCTAATTTGGGGACTCGTTTTCTGCAGCTTTCGCCACGATGCTTTATACAAACGAAGGTAATCTGCAAAGCTTGTCGACACCTGGTCTAGATAAGCCCCCGCTGTGGCCAAGGCTAGAGGAAGTCCATCTAACTCTTTCGCAAGTTCAGTCGCAGCAGGATCTAAGAATGGTTAGTGCTGCTTATAATAGGTCAAAATCTAACGAACCATTCATTGTACTTTCTCGATGTGACGCATTAGACAGGATCTGTAGGCTGTCGCGTACGTCTTTTAGCTTGCCTACCCTTATGCGGCGACCTATATTCACCCTTGAGGACCTTGTTGTAACAATAATTGAGCCGTGGTCTAGGTTAGGGAGAAATGGTTGGATTTCCACCGCATTGGGGTCTGTAATGGCCGGTATCTTTGGCTTGTCATAGTTGTCAAACACCATCAACCATCGCGTATTCTTGGCTTGTTCCAGCCATCGAATGACCGCTGCCACTACATCGTCTCTCTGGCTGTCATCCGTAATCCCACTTAACTGGCGGGCCGATGGATGTTCTTGGGAGATCCGTCCTGCAATCTGATAATAGCTCTGCTTTACTGAGACTTTATCTTTGATGTTTAGCCAGAATATCGCTGAATAGTCGTTACGGCGCGCCATAGCATATGCAATTGCTAGCTGGGTTTTACCAATCCCACCTAAGCCATAGAGAGTAACCACTCGACGGCCAGTACTGTCGCTAAGCGTCTTGTGAATGTCGTTTAGCTCTTCTTGTCGCGCGACAAAATAGTTAGTCTTCGAGGCCCCAGACAGGTTAAAGGGGACGGAGAAGCTCTCTGCAAAATTGGAGCGAGCTATGGCTGGAGTCATTTATATGCGAATTAAATTGGGTATATATTGTACTACATACCGATAGTAACCCTGCCTTCTTCTTCCCATCGCAGACTGATAACATCCCCTGCACTTTGAACCATTATCTGTAAATGGCCCGACACAGTCACGTAACCGCTATCTTCCTTCGAAGCAAACTTAACCATGTTAATGTGGTCCGCGTGTATGGCGATCGGTTCTGCATCGGCCTCACCAGGCACTACTGCCGATGCTCGCGGTACCACCTATGCACTCAGCTTCTACTGCGTTTTGTGGAAGCGAAACATACCATAATAGAATGGCCTAATACTGTTGGGGTCTTATACTCCTCATATGCAAACTTCGTCACGAATTCCTTACTGATTGGCCCGTACTGCCCAATCTGCTGCTGGAGCAATTCAGAGTCTCGGTCCAGATGCTTCATCAGTCTGTCATCTGCCGCCACGAACACGGACGCCACATTGACCAGTAGCTTTCCTAGCTGCACTCCGTTGCCACCTTGATGAGGTGTGCCCATGAACAGGATTCCATACGTTGACATTTTGATTGACCGATGTTCTTCTAGTGCTCTTTGTCGCGCCGCGTCTGAGTGGATAAGAGCCTACCTATCCTGGTCAGCTCCAAATACAATAGACTGAACAAATGCTAACACTTTTTACGATAATCCCGCCAAGACAATGTGCTACAAAAATTATCGGCCGTTGTGTTGTCTACCAGCGTTAGAAGCGCATTTCACAACTACAGCTCTCCGTCCTACATTTGTGCGCTTCCTCTTAAGGCAAAGATCTGAAACCAGCGACCTCGCATGGTCATACAGGTATTGGCAGCTAACGCGGCTGCCATGGGTATTCGCATCGTATCCCCAGCAGAAAATGCGCGCATTTGAGATGTCAGCTGAGAGGAGATCATAGAGCCAATTGATGCCGTTGTTTGCCGTCCACGTCTTCTCGCGGTGTCCGTTGAGGCCGTGGACGGCGACAATGCTTATATCATGTTAGCTGAAAAGGGAGCTGCATAGAGGCATACGCACTCGACGATGGGGTTTATACCCTCAGCTACCACCTGTAAGCCTAGGATTGATGACGGCGGAGACGTTGAAAGCTCTGGGGCGGGTTGCTTCTTTGATCGGAACGGGCGGAGAATCCGTTGCATCGTGTTAGGAGGCTAATTTGTAGTGTAGGTGATATCCGACGACGTGGTGCGCGAGGGACATCATGAGGCTGAGACGGCTGCGGCATGCCGGCGATAGGACGCTGCTGCCTGCAGCATTCAATTCGCTCATCCTGCCCAGCCAGCTGAATTTTGCAGCACCCGCTGGGTACCAAGTAGACCTGTTTTCGAACTACATTCTAGGAAATCCGGCGTCGGTCGCGACGATAGTCTGCAATGTACCGACTTCATAGCGGGAAAATGAGCTAACACAGAACACCGAACGCCACGGTTCCCTAAGGATATGTGTACCGCAAACGAGAGGATTAGCGGTTGGCACTGGCACAAGCGGTGTGACGGACCTGCACTGTCCACAGCAGGTTAGTCACATGACTGATCGATGTGCATAGACTACGGGGCTCGGAGATAGATTCTTCCGGGGCCGGCTGGCTATTTGAGACTACCTACACCCTCTACCCATGAACGGGTTTGTAGCGTAGCCACCGCACAGACATTATCTGTGTGGAAAAAGGACGATTTGTATGGAACCGCACAGACACGCGCTACAAACCCGTTCATGAGGGGGGGGTGTAGCCCCTGGCTATCTCCTCACCTGAGCACTCGAGGAATATAGCCAGCCCTATCCCATCAACTCGCCCTATGCAACAATGGTGAAGACCGTGCTTGTCATCACGAGCGGTGAGATTGTACGCGGTTTTGTAAAAATCTCATATCATATATATATATATAAACCTAGGTGTGATTAAAACTGGATTCAAGTAGTCATTTAGCGGAAGAGGGGTGAGGACATTTGAAGCATGCCGCAAGAGCTAGTCCAAAGTTAGTATAGCTTATGCCGAGGCGCTAGTGGAGAAAACCCCGAGCTGAGGGCAAAACCGGAAGCCGAACCTGCACGCCACTGTAACGCCTTCGCGCAATCACCACTGCACCGCTTCTCATCAATTCTAATATTCGAAATATGGACAACGCCCCCTACGTACGACCGCAGACTCCCCAAGCCCTCCTCCACCACTTACCCTCCAAACCCTCACCCTCCGATTCCCCCATTACCAAACCCAACAAATTCATCATCCTCCTCCTTGCGCCAACATCAGTCGCTGGAAAAGTCCAGATAGCCACGTCAGTCGCAAAAGCACTTTCGTGTCCGCTATTCCAGGGCGATTCCTTGCACGAGAGTAATGCCAAAGTGGCAGCCGTGGGCGCAGCAAGAAGCGAGGATGGCGGAATGGGAATATATCAAAGGATGTGGTTGCGGAAGATGACGAGAACGGGCCTGCTGTTCCCGGAGGAATCAAGGCCCGCGAATACGAGCGAGGGATTTGTTGGATTCGGTGGTGGGGAGGAGTCGAGAAGCACAAGCCGGAGAGGATCGGTGGAGTCGGTGGCATCAAGTGCGAGCTCTGTGGGCGCCACACCATCTGACAACGTCGGTTATATCAACCAGTCGGTTTTTGCCATCTCCGAGCAGGAACAACGCCGAAAATCCAATCCCGCTTTGATGGTCTTGACGCATCCGGAGCTGGAGCCATGGCACAAAGACGCCATTCGGCAGGCTACAGGAGAATATAGGATAGGCATCATTTTTGTACCTTTATACAAGGCGGATACTGAGCAAGACGATGAAAATGAAGAAGAGGAAGAATTTCCAGTGCTTAAACCATTAGATCCTGCCACAATTCGTGGCTTCACGAGTTTCGACGCGCTTAGGGCCGCCGCAGGAGGTGGTGATGGAGATCGTCTAGGGAAAAAACTGAAGTATGGGAAGGGGAAGGAAGGGAATTTAGAGGAGGAGATGGTGCTGAAAGTTGATATTAATGGAGGCGTTGAGGAGATTATTGAAGAAATTGTAGATGGAGTGAGAGATGTCATGGGTGCGTAAATAATAGGTATGTTTTATAACTAGATTTGTAGCTTCTGCTCAACCTCGATTCTGAGGAAAGTAAGTTGCAAATTCGGCGGAGGCTAGAAAAGTGCAGATGCCAGTATCAGCATTGCAACGATAGAGCAGGCCCTGAGCTGCCTATACGCGTCATTGAGGCGAACATTGGAATGAGTGGGAGTGCTCACTTTTACCTTCATCATACCCATAGACAACGAGCTCAGTACGTCACACTAAGTTCCAGCTAGGGGGAGACTACCTCTCCCAATATAACCAAGGAACTGTAGAAGAATACTCAGACAATCTCTGCTTCGAATCCCTTCCCAAAACGTTCCAAGATCCTTGCATTCTCTACCGATTCCTGGGGGTTCGATATCTTTAGATCGACGTAACATGTATTGTTCCAGATAATGGTGACGACAAAGCCCCTGGGATCTAACCAATGGCGTCGGCCCACGTTAGATCTTTCGCGGAAGGCCTGGTCGAGCGACGTGCGGAGCCTTCTTTGTCATTAAATCTGATATATTCCTGGCACTTTCAGGAATCGCGCATAATATGGAACGACACGATCCGCACACGCGATATCTTGCTCTAGTACGGCTAGAAAATCTCGGCATAGGCCTTCTATAGTCAATAGGAGGAATTATGCCGGTTAACCCATGCCCGAAATTCCGGCCCGCGTTCTAGCGCGCTCTAACATAGTCGGCATCAACCCTCCATAATCCTCCATATTGGCAAACATGGAATAGCTGCGACATCACTAACTCTTAGACCTTCATATCCCCTAACCATTTAGACAAAGATGCATGCTCAAACATGCATCTTTACATCTTTCCGGAAAGCCTCGTCTCCGTCCGAGCGAGATGCAGTCGAGCCCAGCCTCCCATTCCTCAGGTGAATGCAAATATTTTCTAGGGCTCTAGGAAACCCCAGGCCCAGCTGTTTTCCTCGATGTCACTATTTCCGCCTCCGCACATATCACCGCGCAGGTAGATGCGAACGCAGGTATCGAAGCCTAGCTCCTGTGCATGCTTGTACCTTGCCAAGATAATGTAGCGGTTTGGATCCTAGAGTGGTGGTTGTTCGGTTTGATTTGAGACGCATTAGCACATATGTCATTCCGCAGCACTGGTTACCCTTTCTCAAATTAGAATAGCCACGGCAATCCACACAGCGCGAACTTAATCTCAAGCATCGCTGGAGTGAAGTGTTCTACTAGCCCATCCAACGCATAAGAAATTTCCCTTAGACTTAGCGGCTTCTTTTGTTGTCTTAATTCCCTCTAGAAGTACCTATCGACCTTCTTATACTCTAATTTTGTTAGCCCGTTGGCCCTCGAGAGTTCCTATACAACAAATTAGCTCGCTGTCACTCGAAACAAGAAAAGAGCGATTGCCAACACTTTGGACATGTAGGATGATTGGCCTGGATTCTTTTTATAGAAATGCTTCCCCGGTACATGGGTATACATGAGTTTGACAGCTAGATCAGTCAAGAACTTGAAGGAATATTCAGGTCCGTAGTCAAATAGAGATAAGGTAGCCAGAATCTTCGAGCGCCGTTGCCTCGACTATATACGAAGTCGTGGGGATTTCCAAGAGCCGCCTTGCTCTTTGAAAAAGTTCCATGATTTTGATAGATTCTGCAACTCTCTTGCAGATGGTGTGTGGGAGATCAATCCTAGAAAACGCAGGAGATCAACCCTAGACAATGTAAGATAGCCAGCGAGGACCGTGAAGATTTCCTACTCAAACTCCCTTGTTAAGTCGTTGCTACTGCGTTATGATCCCTTTTCTAAAACCCTTGATCTTGGAGCTCGAAAACTCCTCGTTCAATTTGAAAGATACTATCAACAGCCCAAGCCGTGATCTGTTTAAGATACACGCCGCGTTTATTAGGGTAACAGGAGAGACGGCCCACAAGAAATGCATTGGTGAGTATAAGGAGCCTGCAGAACCCCAAAGTCAAGGCGAAAGCAAGGGTGTTGATGTTGCTAAAACGTCCGGTGGACCTGACTCGGATCATACGATATAGATCATGTGCTGCGCTGGTTGTCGGTACTTCGATGAATTGTTGTGCGGATGGGGTTGGTGGTCCGCGTGCATGGTCCACGATTTCACGTTGAAACATGGTGAGAAAGCTATTACACATATCTAGAAATTTTAAATGGACATTGGTTATCCGGTGGCGGCATTTAATATATGTGAGGAGTTGAGTGTTTTGCAAGCATACTAGATCCTTTATAGGAAGGCGCGGTGATGTTGGTGTTGAACCGGTATATAGCATTGATGATGACATCCACACTAGCTGCTTGCAACCGTGCTAATGGGAGCTCAAATTTTGCGGATCCAACAACTGGGAGAAATCTGACGCGATGAGTATAGAATTTGTTTTTTGGGTTGTAGAATTGATACTATGAGGAATTTTTGTGGGTAATCCATTGCCTTGGATGGAGAGAAAGAAGGCGTTCGAGGCGTTCTTGAAAAATTTGTGCTACGTTCTTTATATAAGTTTTCGGGCTTGCTAAGCTATTCGAATGATAAAGCTGCAGGCCCTGAAGCCATGTATCATTATACACCTGGGAGCGGAGAACCGAAGGTCGCTGCATGGCTCCGAAGATCTCAGTGCGTTTAGCATTAAAATAGTATTTTCAGATCGCCGACGGTGTCGTTAAGTTATGCTCTAGGGGTAAAAGTTGCTTTAATCCATGATCGGAACCCTACAATTCATAACATAAGAAGCGTGGCATCTAAACCAAACACGCTATCGGGGATTTGCCACCATATTAATTCTTGCGCCATGGTTAGTCGTACAGCTTATTTGATCGGTTGTCTTAGAGGACGAAGTCCATTCCATTTTGATTGGTTTCATAGCTCCACTTCAAGAAGGGCTCGTAAGAGGTTCTATTGCTGGGTCTTTCTGTCTGATCCGCATTTGAGGTCGAGGTAAACATATCAGGCGGAATTGGTGCACAAGCAGTCACTTTTCGGAATTGCAAATTGACCTTCTGCAAATTGATGCCAAGCACCGTATTTATATCAAGCCGTCCTGTGTCGAACACGAGATTTCAGCCGTCGTTATAGTAACAGATAGAATCCTCGAATGGACGTGACGCATCTGCAACCACGGTGTATAGAATTAAGAATTTGGTAAAGGCTTCACAAAATCTAGCCCACTCTCGAGAAGTTTTGTCGTAGCATAGACACCCGCACTGCTTGCTGAACTCTGCGAGGGTTGTGATGTACTTGATGGCTTCCATCGAATTCTCCATTGCATCGTCCAAGGCTGGGTCGATATTTTGCTACACTCAGCAGAAACGTCTTCCGATCAAGACATCCACTCTACTAGTACTGACAATTTTGGAGGAAAGAATACGTACTGTGAGAATAAGACCGACAAAAAAGGCTGATATAGAATGGAGAGTGCAGACGATTTCTACCACCTTTGACTACATGATCGTCAGAATTACGTAGTTTGAATGAAGTGCCACAGTGTCTGTAAAGGCGACGCGTTGCTTCTAGTCGATATATCTCGTTGATTCTGCAGCGTGCGCCTCAAGTCTTCCGTTACTCGTTGTTGATGCTAGATGAGGCAGACAAGCACCAGAGGTGCTGGCCCGCAAATTGAACGAAAAGAGCGAGGAAAGCAACGGCTATCGTGCCGCTAGCCGAAATCGTCGTGATGGTTCCCCCACAGATCGGACCTTTTGACTAGTCAATCCAAGGTCCGATGTCGACGTCCGAGTACAGGACACCCGTCATAGCAGCCATAGCAACCGGCGAGCTGGTCGAAGGATTTAGTTCAATCAAGGATTTATGTCCCCAGGCGCCGTCTTCCGTGAATGAATTATCGCTCGGGTCGTTGCGTCACAGTTCTCTCGTTCCGGCCCATGTACACGTGGCCCACATCCTGCGAATCCTTCATGCGCCGGAATTCTGATACATAGGCAATCCGTCAGCCATGACCCACGAACAATCGGTGAACACTATGCTGTCTCACGCGAGGGCCTACGCGCCCATACTTTGTACAGCGACATGAATCATACTGCTGAGAGAAGAACTCATGTTGGCAACTGATAAGCATCGTGCTTCCCGAACGACTAAATAATTATCTCTCGCGTATGTCAGCTTAGCCGCCAAACCCCTGCGTTCTCACCTCACCCTAATGTAACCTTAAATTTACCCCTGCCACAAGGTTTCGCCTTGCTCGCCTTCAAGGTTCTCATATGAATAATTGCCGGCAGGAGTGATCTCTCCTGAATGCTGCCGGCGGAAAAAAAGCACTTCAAGGTTTATATCGGGTTCTTCTGTGGTCATCCTGAGAACAGTTGGTGGGTAAGATGGGCATTTCCGGGACGGCAACGGATGTGCTGTGAATGGCCAGTGCCAGCTAAAGGATTCCAAGGAATGGACTTTGAAGGCCGGACACCGAAAGCATCTCCGTGCAAGGGTTAATCGCACGACATATCGAATACAGAAGGTGCATCTAGATGAAGAGATGAGCAAGGGGGAGTGAGGAGCGATGTTATCGTTTAAGGGGTTGAATGGAGAAAGACGTGAAGCGATGATGTTAAATGGAAAGAATTGCTGGACGACTGCCAAAAACGGCTTCACATGCATCACCCATCAAGTTTCCAAGGATAGAGCTTCAGTTTTAAAGAAGAATTCTCATTAAAACAGTTCTAACTTAGGTGGCAAGTGCTAAAGGTGCCACCAGTATGCCGTCCGTCTATAGCTTGCCTTTGGAACACTAAAGGGAAAGACTAAGGTGATGTCGTCCGCCACGCTCGTGAGAAACATTCTCTAGCCATCCTTCCATCAGCCAGCCTTCACAACTTCGACTCTTGGGTTAGGTACAGCCCTATCTTCCTCTTCCACTCCACTAGCAGCTTCCACCTCACATTCCGCCCTCCGCGCATTCTTTACCTCTAGAAATTCCTCCACAATCCCTTTGTAGTCCTTAGGGAAGTAAGGCGTGAAGCATTCACTCCACCACCCCCCTTTCCTCTTATTCCGAACTCCAACATCTCCAAGGAGAAGATCTATATATGGAATACAGTCGAACCAGAGTTCAGGAAATCGTGCTCCAAACCCTCTGCTATACCGCCATTTCAAGAATTGCGTATGCAAAACAGTCTCGTAGAGAATTCGATTTGTCGTGGTGCTGGCGTTCACCGTTGGAGTCTCTGAGTGTGAAGAATCCGGTCGCGCATCGAGAGATGGTAGAGCGACTTCAGCCGAAGTGGCGGGTTCAAGGAGGGAAGGGATCTGGTTGCCTAAAAAGGCAGTGATCCAAAGTGCCTGCGCCTGAGCTATGAGAGTAGTAGCAGGACTCCTATAAGCACCTGCGAATGCGAGAGTGCGAGATTCAATGAACGCCGGAGGAACCATGAAACGATATAAACGGTATGGCTCACTGACTGTTTCGGTCGCGTTGTCTGTCAGGGGTTTGTAGTTTTTCTGCTCAGGCTGATTCTGTAACCTAGGGCACTTCTCTAGGATCTCAGCGTCGGCTTTGGGAATGTATTTCCATGCAGCCGGCGACGTGGAACCTGGCAGCCCGAGCTCCCTTTCTGTGTCAAACTTGATAGGGGGAGCGTCCTTCCAACCCGTTCCACAGATTAATATATCCGCAGAGATTGTTTCGTCGTTGGATAGGTGGACCGTGTGATCAGAGAGGTGAGTGATGTCTGCAATATGAACCCTGATGATACCATTGCGAACGAGCTCGAAGAAGTCTCTATCGTAGTTCAATAGACCACGATTCGTGCCAATGAAGAACACATCATCCCAAGGTTTGAGTTTCGCCGTTTCAGGATGAGAGTCGTAATTGTTGTGGGCGAGGACTCCGTGCTGCATTTTGTTGAAGAAGCCATCGACGATTCTACGACCGAGCCAGTGCTGATGAAGAAATTTCCGGATGGAAGGATAACCGTCTGCATCGCCCCAGATACATGGACTCATCCACGTGATGGCTCTTGTTTGAACAAGAAGTTCTGGGATGGCTTTAAGAGGCGTCAATCGATTTGGCATCATCCAACAAGGCCCATGGCCGGACTCCCGAATGACCCAGTCGACCTGAACCCCAGCAGATGCGTAGGCACAAGCTATATCCCAAGAAAACTTGGCACCGCTTAGAAGTACCACCTTTTTATATGGTCCTAGCCCGTTTGAGGCCTTTGCAAATTCGCTGGTATGATAAATCGGGGCTCCAAAGTCGTCCTTGCCATCCATTTTAGGCATAAACGGTTCAGAAGTCAAGCCCGTAGCAATGATTAACTTTACGGCCTTAATCTTGCTCAGGCCTTTCTTCTCGGTCGTTTCGTCTCTGATCGTCAAGGTCCACCCAACGTCACCTTCGTCGACGGCAGATTCTACACTGGAGCCGAAGCGCATGTGCCTTAGGAGGTCGAACTTCTGAGCATAACTGTAGAGATAACCATTAACGTGTTCGCCTGGAACGTGGTCGTTTTCTAAGTCGAAGCCCTCTGTACTCATTGGGAAGTCACTGTACTACTCAACACGTAAGCATATTTAGAAAAGAGAGCTGCCAGCCCTCAAGTACCTCAAATCTGCTAATTCTTAGCTTTTATACATTTGCAGAGCTTTGTAAATGTAACCTACGTCCTGAAATGATTATTGGTGTGGAGACCAGGATACAGCCGGTCTTTAGCCCAGACACCACCTAGTGAGGTGCCTTTATCTAGCACTAATATTGAAGATTTCGGATTGACCTCTCGATATGTCTTTAGCATAGTCATGCCGTGGATGCCTGGGAGATTATCAACTTGAGGGTTCGAAGTATTCATCAAAAGAACACTCACCAGCTCCGACGATGACTAAATCGAAAGACTCCATCTTTGGAGCGTTGCTAGATGTTTCTCAGGGACTGTCAAAATTTGGGGGTGGGGTGGGTTTTAGCAACAGTGCAATTATATACGTTGCTTAGATCTTGTTCATGGCATGTTTTCCTCGCCCCCTTTGTGAAGGACGGACCGTCTCCGTTATTTAAGACCGCACAGGACCATGTGCGCTTGTGGCACAATCTAGGGAGGAACCGAGCTAGTGGGATTACGGATCCAGAGGACAACGGACACTAGAAATGGGGTTATGAGCAAGGCTATTATTTGTGCAACCTTCATTGGGTGCATCACATAGGTTTCAGGCGAAGAAGCATTTTCAGCGAAACTTTTTGTGGGCCTTGAAAAATCAGAACACAATTGGCTGAAACTCCCGTCAGCTCTTTTATCATTTAGACCAAATTTATTCTTTTGAGGGCCGTGAATGGCTCGGTTGAATCGGCTTGTGGGAGGAAGCTTGGCAGTGGAAAGGCTTCTGCTGTGCCGTTGCTAAAATACAACACATCAAACTTCATCGCGAGAGCGTTCCCAGTACTCTAATGAATCGTGTCCTTCCCGTCACGCTACGCTGGTTGATTCGCCCCTCTGCGGACAGCCAAACAAGAAAAAAGATGATGGCCTCGCTTTCGATTGGTTGATGCAGTGCCGTTTCCCTGCATGGCATAGGAGGTCTGAGGTCAGCACGTTGACATTCTCATCGGCGCACCTGTGGAAGGACCTAGCTAAATTGCCACCGAGAGAAGGGTGGCATATAGGTTGCACGCTAACGGTCAAGGTTCCAGAACGTGTGGATTGCAATGATGTTCAGGTCATTGGGGGGAGCTGCGACAGATCAAAGCGCAGCAGAAGACGCGCCATGCGGCAGGGTGAATCCTTCAATGCAGTGTGGGAGCAATCACGCACTGTGTCGTGCCGCTTTCCTTGGAATCCATGGAAGTCCTGGGGAGTCTCAACAATTACATCCTCACGAGGGTCACAACCGTGGAAGTACGTCCGTGCAGCGGCGGAGTACCGTTGAAGTCTCGGAGAGTGAATGCATTCTGTTAAATCAAGGTAAAGAAGTCCGCGAAGTGCGCGATATCCGACGGAGGTGAAGACGACCACGGCAAGATCAATGATCAGCGCTCGGAGGACGGGGTTGTTGATGGAGGCTATCCAGTCTTTCAGCTGCCTCAGCTCGGCTAGTCTGAACGCTAGCCCCTTGGAGTTTAGCGTTCACTTATCGATAAAGCTTTCAGCTGCTCCAAGGCAGCCTCAAATACCACCAATTTCATATATCGGCCTTCCACGCCCAATGACAAAAACACACGTTGATGCTCTCTCTAATTGCAACAGGGCATTGCAAAGAATAATAGTACCTTTCTCGCTCAACAGTTGAGTTATTCCAGCCGTTTCCCTCCCACTCTAAGGCTGCATCAATCCCTACCATAAATGTCCACAATAGTCTTGTCGCCACGCTGTCTGGCTTCAGATGTCATCAACAGGTTCCATCGACTTGCCTCATAGTTTTGCGGATGTGAGAGTAAGACAATGGGGCGATAAGGGCCTCGAACTGTTCGCCCCTGAGACCAAAGGCGCGGGGTTGCAAGGAACCGATGAAGTTCCAAAACATCAACGCATCAAGGATCACCTAGAGAATATTGGAAAAGCCCGTATAGAAGCCATTGGCAATGCTCGTAAGGAAAGTGTCCGAAAACCTCGTTGGGATGACCCAGGAAAGTCTACTAAGTTGACATGGATACATATTCCACGTAACGATATGGCGCTGTGCGAAGTAAGTTTAAAATGAAGAAGCCCTTAAAAGTAATCGAAATCCCAGAGGGAAATATATTACTGACATGTTTACGGTTAGGCTGTACTCAAGATAGTCTGTGCAAAGAAGCATGTAGATGTGTTGCTTGATGAAGAATATTGGTCGGGCCAACTGCGCGGAACTTGGGATGCTAGAACAAGCAATGACTGGGACGGAACACTCGTTGGCGCTCCGTTCATGGAAGCAACTGCATTTACCCTCCACTTTAGTGAGTAACCAGATCCTGTGGAACGGTAAATTTTACCGTCCATGCCCTAACACTATTACAGGAACTGAGGAGGGAACCGAGTTCCAAGGAAGTCAATGGGATCTTTTGGAGGATAGAGGGGCTAAAGGAAGTCTAGAGAGGATACAAAATACTATCATATACGTAAGTTAATGGCACAAATCAAAGAGAGCACTGAGCTGATCTTCCTTTAAGATGCCGTATCTACATTGGGACAAGCTCTCAAGGCACAAACAGGAACTCAAGGGGCGCAAAGAAAGGCTGGAAAAGCGAAACAATCAGCACCAAAAGCACAAAGACTTAACCCAATACCGGAACGAGACCCTACATCCACGCCGAAGTCTCGATGAGGCAGGCTACAACTATCATACTTATGAGAGCCTTGAAAGACGAAATGATGACCAGGTCGTAACAAGATTTCTTCGGAAATATGCAAACGTAGAAGATTCGGATCGGCTTACACTTATGGTGGTTGATCAACTTTGGTTGTGGATCCTGGATGACGGTAAAGTCCCTTCTCCTCCAAAAATTTTGTCCCCGGTTCCACTTCCTAACCTGCTGTTATCTGGATCTAGACACCCTAGTAACAAGCTTCCCTAATACTCCCGAAAAGGATCACCCAGGTACGAAATGTCGAAACCAGAACTTGGAATGCCTTGCGTTGGAGCAACTGAGGAAGAAGAGAGGAGGCCATGATGCAAATCGCATGGCTTCTCATCTAATCTACAGGTGCTATAGAATATTCTTCCATGACCGCCAAAGCCATCAAAACCTACGTTACCTTGAAATTTTCAATATGTCTATTGCCGAACAGGTGCTCTAGACACTCCCACCACACTCGAGAACATGTCGCTGATGAAAACAGAGGTCAAAGTCTACGGAGCTTTTTCAAGCCCTGGACATCGCATCGAAACTAGCAAATAAGACCAACCGGAAGGCGGAGAACGCACCCTCAGGGGATGTACTTCGCATCGAGCAAGACATAACCGCTATTGGAAATATTCGGGACATACATGAGGAGCTTCAGATGATGGTCCACATCGTAGATCTGCAGCTGAGGGCTCTCGGAAGCACGCACCTACATAGCCACAGGACATGGGAGGAGGACCTTCATGTACACAAGGAGAAACTGCAAGCCCTATCCCAACAAGCGACGGATATACATGAGATGGTAAGTGAGAGCTCGACTTCGAGAGCATTGAGTCTAACTGGCAGCACGACTAGCTCTTCAAAACGTTGGAAGTGAAGCAGACTTCGCTTAGTATACGCCAGAATGAGGTTGTCATCACTTTCACGGTAGTGACTATTGTCTTCGTAAGTCTTTATATCTTCCGACATTTGAATATGCCATCGAGTCTAACTCATAGTTCCAAAGCTTCCCTTGAGTTTCATCAGTTCCATTTTCGGCATGAACGCAGCAGAAATAAACAACGGATCCCCGTTAGGCATGGGCATTATATTCGCGTACATGTGTAAGTGTAATACCCTACATAATGAGAGATTCCTTCGATAACCTGGTTGCGTGATAGTTCCTATAAGTCTACTCATTATATCGTTCACTCTTGTTCTATCGTTTTCTTCTCCGGTTAGAGATTATCTTAAACAGTTCAGGGTCGCTGGTCGTAAAAGCTGGTTACGATTAAATGACAGCGGGAAGAATAATGGTAACAAGGGTAGCGGAAATGAAGGCAGCGGCACAGCGAAAGTCAATGTGGCTAATGATCGTTATGTTTCTGAAAAGGGTATCACCGAGCACATATTACAGCCAGTTGGCTCACCGGTATAAATTCTGTCTCCCTATCTTCATAATATCAAGTTAATGTCCTCTCACCCATATTCCAGGATAACGAATCCCAAGATGGAGTATTTCGAATAACCATTCATCCAGAGGTAATTGGCGCTCTTCCTGTGCAATGAAATCAATTCCCTTGGATCCTTCACGTTGCTGCGAAGACACTCCTCCACCTTCGTTCCATTCACTTGAATTTGTAAGTTATTATCAAAGATACCTATCCTTGTACAAGGCGCTGCTTCAATGCGCCGCATACTGCTCACATTCATTTCTTTAATCATTCCCCGCGTCTGCCCCCAGTGCATGTTTTCAATCTCGAATTAGGATGAGTCACAGCCACCCTCCACACCGTGGTAGATTGTGTATTGTGTGATATACCACGCGATGCTTACATTATGGGGCGTGAAGTGCCACTGAAGTTGGTGAAGGATATGTCGCGAAAATACCCAAAGCTATCACTTCCACCGTTAGGTGGATACTAAGTTCTCTTTCCCGTCCAGATTTTAATGCGCCCCACATATCCAGTTTCATAGCAAATCGTATTAACGGCAGTGCCGCTCTCGATGACCTCAAATTCTCCTAGGTATTGGCCGATACTGCCCATAGTGTAGCTCTATTTTAGTCTTAGACACGATTGATCTCTTAAACGACGCTAGATTAGTTCTTAACTCTCTTTCATACAGCTAATTTCGTTGTCTTCCTGATACTGAACTTGTTAGCAGCTAGATTTAGATTATTAAGCTATTAGAGGCTTATTCACTCGCTTCTATGCACACCTCTGATAATCTCTTAGTTGTGCGAACTTCTAACTTCTCTGCGACAGACAAGGAGCCTAACAAGGACCCCTTAAAGAAGCTTGACATCTAATTACAATGCTGCAAGCAAGTAGTTTAAGCTTTTCCTTTACTGTAGAGAAGACTCTTCTAATAGAGCTGCTACTAGAACGCGTGTACGATCATTATATCGACACTAGCAACGCACTACCTAGGAATATCAACGCTATTAACTCTCCTAAACTTAAATTAAGGAGCAACACCGCTAAATCACAGAGCTCCTTAAACGAGGACCCATCTAAGAATTAATTAGTTCTTAAGGTGCACCTATCCTATTTATCCCTAAACATAGAGGCAAATAGCGAATGTGCCTCGACCTCTGGGCGCTTAATGCAGTTACTAGGCCCAACGCCTATCTTTTGCTACAAATTAATGAACGCCTTTAAAAATTTAGCTAAGCTAAGTACTTCACAAAGCTCGATTCGCTTTCAGCATACTAGCAGGTACGAGTTAGGGAAGAATCTATCTCTAAGACAGCGTTTAACACGATTAAGGGGAAGTTCAAGTTCCTTGTCTTTCCTTTTAGACTGCCAAACGCTCTTTTAACCTTCTAGGCCCTCATAAACAACTGTTTTCGGCCCTACCTTCATTGATTCGTCCTTGTATACCTGGATGATATAGTGATCTATTCAAACAAAGCTGAAGAGAATGCTAAACACCTCTAATCAGTACTTAGATCCCTTTCTTGCAATTATCTCTATACTAAACTTTAGAAATGTCTTACTAGAGCTGAAGAGATTGAGTTCTGCGGCTCCTTAATCTGATTCAGACAAATTCGACTACTTCTAGCTAAACTAGAAGCTATTAACAAATAGCTACAACTACACAATGTCTATGAAGTCTGACAGTTCTTCAGAATAGCAATGTAGTATCGCTAGTTTATTAAGAACTTCTTAAAGATCGCTGCACCTTTGCATGAACTCCTGAAGGAGAACGACGTACAAACGTGGAAGAACAAATATTAATCTATACTCCAGAGCATTGCCTGCTAACGAGCCTTTCTTACGCTTAATGCTAAATTAATGGAATATCCTGTTCTAGCTATCGTAGATTAGTTAAAACCCTTCTAAATTGAAACTAATGCCTTAGATTTTGCTATAGGCATGGTTTTAATGTAAGAAGGCCCTGATAGGAAGAACTACCCTATTGCGTACGACAGCTGGAAACTCACTGCTGCTGAGCTTAACTACTCTATCTAGAAGAAGGAAGCTCTAGCGATCAAATATGCCCTTCACGTTTAGAACTCCTATTTGCAAGGCAAGAGGGTAACAGTAGTAACTGATTACTAATCGTTGCAGTACTTAAAAACAACACAAACTTCTTTAGCAAGACTTGCTCGTTAGGTCGCCTTCTTTTTAGAATATGACTTAGACATAAAATAATAACTAGGATCGCAGGCTATTATTATAGACGCTCTATCACAGCGCCCTAATTTTGCGTCAGGCTACGTAGCCGCCATCTAGGCGACGGAGGAGGAACCTAAGTATATTCAAAGTGTAGTTTAATACCTAACAAACGGATTCCTACTAGAAATCCCCTCTAATGAGGAATTAAAGCAACGATAATAGATATTTAACGAAAGCTTCTATCGTTAAAACACAGGCGCGATTTTTGCCTGCGTGAAGGATCCTTGCGTTACTGTTTTAATCCTTAGTTAACTGCTCTTACTGTAGAGAACACAGCCCCCTACATTCCAGTAGAGAATTAACAGTCCTTTCTTAAGCATTATCATGAGGCATATAGTCATTTTGCTTACGAATCCCTTGCAGATATCCTAATACTTAGAGGTTAGTAGCCTAGCATAAGACAAGACGTCTACAGTTACGGAGCTCTCCGAGTTCCATTACCTGCTCGGATTCATGAGCTGCTGCACTCTACTATGGTGGCATGTTGCCTGCTCTAGTTGCATGTTGCCTGCTCTAGTTGCATGCTGCCTGCTCCAATTACATGTTGCCTGCTTGGCATTTCTGCTGCCTAGCCTACGCGTCTATATGGACCCAGAGATACGCTCCTTTAGCAATCAACTCAGCTCCTCATCCTTGATGCACTCTTCAAAGCTTCATACAAGATGCTATACGCTTTGCAAGAGAATGTCCTAAATGTTAGTTAAACTAACGCTCCTGCTATGTCAAAACCTGAGTGTTCTACTAGAACAGGTGCTGACATCCATTGGATGAAGAAAGAACCAACTTAATTAGTGTGTTACTAACCCTGCTAAATGGGAATCAGTGGATCATTACAGCCATCGATTATGCTACGGGTTAGCTGGAAGCTATAGCAGTCCCTAAGACTACCGCAGAGGCTGTTGCTAGCTTCATATATTAAAGGATATACATCTAATACTGCGCACTGCTGGCTTTTATGTATGACAATAAATTAAACTTACTTTTACAGGTAGTTAAATATCTTAGGAAACTTATTAAGTCTTGTTATAAAATAACGCCGCCGCATCACCCTTAAACTAATAGCAAGATAGAGAGATATAATAGCGTACTTGGTGAAATTCTTACTAAATTCTGCATGAACAAAGATGTTCAGCTTTGGGATTCATACCTAGAAGCAGCACTGTTTGCAACTCGTATTTAGACTCAATCAACAGTGAAATATCCGCTATACTACCTTGTATATAGAAGGAATCCTTAATTGTTTAGGGATGAGATGCTTAAGGACGAATTAGCCTCTCCTATGACCCTAGAATCTTAATTAGAAATTAAGGACTGCATTGATCATGTACGACCTGCTAGGGAACTAGCTAACGATCGCCTGGTAGAGCGTACTATAATAGCAGGTCTCCTAGACCCACAAACTGTCACTCCTAAGCCTGATGCCTTTCGATTCAAGCTTATTAACTAGGTTCTTTTAAAGAACCAGCATGCTACGAAGTTCACGTGCAAATGGTTCAGTCCATACAAAATCTAGGCCTGAGATCCCCTTGGAACGTATACACTACAAACACTTCGTAGCTTGATCCTCAGACATTTGGTGAATCATTCAAATCTTATCAAGGCTTAATACTAGAATGCTACAGAATTCTAGAACTGGCAGGAGACTAATAGGACACAGGATAAGCTTCTTAAGGAAATAAAACCTAACAGTCCTAAGATTAAAGCTGTGCTTTAACAGGATAGTCTAAAGCCTGCTTAGTACCCAATCTCCCTACTATCTCTGAGCCTAAGTAGGTAAAAAGATTGCAAGAGCTTGTAAGAACAAAGGCTGGAGGTGTACGCCAGTTCTTAATAAGGGAGGGAAATTAGAGAGATATTGAGAGAACAGTGATCGCGTTAACTCAGAGTCGCTAAAGACGCCTACTGCAGCACTCTGAGGAAGAGTTAGAGGCAGGAAGAGCTGCAGTTTCAGGCAGGACCCCTGCCAATAGGTCTAATTAGTTCGATGTACGCTTATAGGAGACTGTGGGAGTAAGGTTAAACCAAAATCTGTTAACTCAAGAGCCAGTTAATTCCTCTGCAAATAGGTTAGAGCCTCAGGAAGGAGGTATCTTGTATATGCTTTAAAAGAGTTGCTTCACGCAAGGACAGCCTAGATAGGCTAGGTAAGGCCATGCAGGCCTTCTCTAAGCGTCAGGATGAGGCAGCATGATATATCTGGGTGGCAGAACAGCTGGATGAGGCATGTGAGGATGAGGCCCGCGAGGATGGGGCCTGCGAGGTGGTAACACGCTGAGATAACTGCGTCATTAATTAGGATAGAAATTAGGACATTATAATAGGCAAAAGAATAAGGTAGATAGCATAGTTGCTAAATTTGTTAGAAGATTGCTAACAAAACAGGCACTAACAGCATTCTCTGCATTAATCTCTAAACATAAGCTTTCTAGCCCTTAGTAACCTGCCTTTAACTGCCTAAAACTACTAAAAATTCTATATAACTACTGTAAACGGTTAGTACAGCAGCCTTATGTATAGTACAGTATACTAAGTAGATGCCCTGTACGTACGTACGTGACCAAAATTGGTGTACTGCAGTACTGTACTATTAGGTGTACTGACGGTTGGACACACTGACTGACTATCTCTTGGAACTGTTAGCAGGTTAAAGATATTTCTGTTATCTTTAGCCTCCTTAACCCTAGATCAGAGACAAGCAGCACGAGCACGCTCGTGCTCTAGGCTACGCTAAACTTGCTCGCGCATAGTAGCCTCTCGTGCGCGCCGTTGAGCTGCTAATCTCTTAGATGCCCTTAACTGACGACGAATTGGAGCATCTTGGACGATTAAGCTAGGGATGTTGATAGCTAGCCGCTGCTGAGAATCGACTAGGTCCTTGATTGATGGTTAGGCTGGCCCCGCTATCCGTTGAGCTGACAGACGTGTATGCTCCTAGTCAGCCTCAAAAGACTTAGTGTCCTTAGGCTTTTTAACATTTGGCTGGTTGTCTAGGCTTCAGGTTAGTCCTAATTGTTAATTAGAAGGGAACTCAGGACGCACTGTCGTGAAAAGGAGCACACCTTCTCATTGCTATTAGCCCAGCAATTGAGGCAGGCACCACTATAGATGACGCGGCCCTTGTCATTAAGAACTACTTAACAGCAAGCAAACTTGCCATTTCTCTGTAGGCACTAGTTGCAAGCTCGCTCAGGATCGCTAGCTGGCGTCTCTAAATTAAATTCCCAAGTAGCGCTTGAAGCCTGCATCAAGAGGCCAATAAGAGAGTTGTAAGGCCCCTTAGGCTAAGAAGTACTACCCTTCTTTAGAGATTCCATGAATGGCGCATTGTTCGCTGGGAGCGGATTTGAAGACAGGTTAGGAAAGAGGAATTCTACATGGCGAGGGAATGTATTACAGACCTCAAGATTCCTTACGACCCAGAATTGGTCAGCATCTTAGCCAGTTAGGATAATCCTCTAGTAGAAGCCCTTAAAGAAAGGCTGCTAGAATTCTTTAATGTTAATAGCCGCATCTTAGATCAGTTAAAGAGTCGCTACCTCGTTTAGACTCTAATACAGGTACGCGATGTTAAGAGGATCTCAACAGAGAAACAACTCAAGGCACTAAGACAGCAGGATCATGAACGGCAGACGAGCACAGGCTCGGAAAGCCAAAGCATCACGTGACTAAGGATACAGAGCATGCTCAAAAGGAGCAGGCGCTAAGGGAAAAGGACAGGCGCCAAGAGGATAGACAGGAGAGACAAGCAAGCTGTCCAAGGTGACCACCTTGGCCGGACCTGTCCAAACTCGTATCAAGGGGATATATAAGGAAGGGGTTTCTTACAGACACTCTCTCGATCCGTAGTTATTGCTAAATTGTTATCTACTCTTTGGAAGAGCGCGATTGATACTCGGCTTCATCTTTGTCTCTCACATGCTCAGTCACGTGGCCACCCACCCCGGACTCGGTTGTCCCAACGCTACTCACTGAAGCTCTCATCTGTACACCTGGTCTTAGTATCTACGAAGGGTAACCCGCTACGGTAAGTTACCCCAATACATACCACGCGACTATATGATTAGCCTTTAGAACCCTAGCAGGCAAGAGATACTCACTCGCGGCTAACAACTTCTCAATAGCCTTCTAACCTTCCTTAGGATTAAAGCGCGGAATGCTGACTAGCCCTCAGCTTAGGGGATCGTTCTCATCATCTCTCTTGCCTCGTCGACCTTTGAAGCCACCTCCACCGTCACTCGTAGCAGTAGAGCCGGCGGAATAGTCAATGGAGGCCATGGATCGGGGATCGGGTGAGGAAGTGAGGAAGTGAGGAAGGAGAGGAGGGTAGGGACGCAGGCTCCAAGCACTTTTGGGGGGATTAAGTACTGAGTCCTTACTGCCTCTAGAGCTGCTGAGTAAAGCCCTGGATCGAGGGGCCCTCGGAGCTGCTGTGAATTTCCCTCTCTTCTGTTTGCAATTCGTTTGCTAGGGAATAGCTGAGAGATGAACAGCTTGCTGTCCTTCACAGGAACACTAGATGCCTGTGTTGAAGCTAACGCAGCCTCAGGTCCTGGCAAACGATTGACGATCGCATCAGGTCATTCTCCCTCAGCCTAACGATAAGGCTAAGCATATCGCGCAGCCTCAGCTGCCTTTCACAGCACTCTGATTGATGATCGCTAAATGGTGTTGACATCTTTGGAGGTCAAAATAAGGCTGGTGCGGGAGGATGTCATATGACGGGCCATTGCCGGCTTACCTCATTCGTATGCGTACAGTAGTCAGATCTTGGCATCGGGTATACTGTATAACTGATGCCCCTCTACGTAGCTTACAAAAAGTAATCGGAGTATTGAATTATCCTTTTTGTGTCAAGTTTTGCGTCCGCGCTGCGACAAATCGGCACGTAAACGATCACACGGCACGTGCGTGCTTATCGATAACGACGGGCAATTGCCCTTCCTACTACAATACTTTCCTTCCCTAGTCTCTCTTACCGAGAGTCAAGACGGGTGTTTATTCCGGGGTATGAACTTGCGTGGGACGACCTGAAGGGATGACTGGACAAGCGCTTCGAAAAATACAATTGCACGTTCACGGAGCGTTACGACGTGGTGCGTGTAGACCTACGCCAGCTCATTGACCCAGATAACGAACGCCAGGCTCAAGGCCAACGACAGCTATGTCGTCTATTTACCCGAAGAACTCATTCTTGTACGTTCTCTTATGCACCTTGATGTTAGCCCTGCTGCTGACCTTGCAAAGGATGACGACGTCGAAATCGCGCTGCTCAAGATTCCCCTTCCCAAGACTTAGGCCCACCGAAAAGCGACATAAATTTCAACCCGCGGATGGTTTCTTTTCCATCGGGATCGCCTGCATTTTTTGAGTGGAGAAGATCTCCTCATTTTATTGCGAAGACGGCCGTGGTGGGGGCTGTGTTTCAGCTGGAAAGCCCCCGAAACTTTGCCCGCATTGCTCTAATCGGGCGGCACACAACTTCTCAGCCTCGAGTCCTGTGTCAGGCTGGCACGTCAGATGCGCAGTGCGGCGAACCTCGGTTTGTGTAGATAACTCTGGCAGAATTCTACCCTCAACTTCTGTGACCTTAGCAATTGCCTGTTTTATCTTTGGACTTTTTGTGATCCTGCACCTTTCTTGAGTGAGGGCATTATCTCGCCACCACTAAGATGGCAACTGGCGGCCAACAACCACCACAGATCAATTTCTTCGAACAGTCATACGATCAATTTCGTGAATATCCTACGAATCTCGTGTTTCGCGCTTCATACCGGAAGGTTCTGCAGTCGTACAAGAAGAGATTGAACGATGCGGAGAGGAAGCTCTTTTTCAACGAGGGGACGAAGGGTCGTCAACTCGACGTTCGGTTTCTAGATTATGACGTTGCACAAAGAAGCAAGTCAGCCAATTTTCTAGTCTGTAGAGATTTGCTGATATCTAGCTTAGAGTTCCTCGAGAGTCAGGCGAATGCAATAGATACCCTCGCCAAGCTAGAGGTATACCTCGGCGAGACGACCGCCACTGGCAATGGGAGATTCAGCAAAAGAGACCCAAAATGCCGATATGTGTAAGTCTTACCCTCTGCTCATGACTGATACATGACCTCAAACTTCTTCCTAGACTCATTTACTCAGACAAGAATCGTGTGCCCCTCAAGATATCGCGGAACATGACAGAGCTGCTTCTCAGTTTCCACCAGGTCATGCCGAGCTATTTGGACTTCATGTCCGCATTTGGCGTGCAACTTGAGCAGCGGGACGCTCGCTTCAGTGGATTCCATGAGCAAAGCACATTGGGAAGGCCGAAAGATAGGAGACCAGCTGTGTCGGAATTAGGGCGAAGCGGTCACGGGTACCAACTCTGCTACAACCTCAAGTCCGTGATCGACAAGGCTGAACCGGGCAAGGAAAAAGATTGGTCCATACGACAAGCCGCTTTGTACCATCAATTCGATGTAGAGAATAACACTGCACTCTGGATATGCACCGAGGGGCGGAAGGACGATGGTCTGTTTGATCGAATCCGAGATTTGACATCCGATGATAAAAGACCGGAAGATTGGAAATACGATAGCAAGGCTGACGGGTTCAGATCAAGTCTTGCCACGCACCTTGCCTGCTGTCATTGGTCGATTGAAGAATGGCGAACGTACGTGGGATGGCTTGAAGTGACCATCGACAAGAAGGTGAGTGTTTTTATTGGTGGTACACTCTAAGATAAACACTAATTCTCGACCAGACGAACGCTGCTACAAGGGGCAGTCGTGAAAAGATCGAGGGAGTGAATCGTAAGAATTACACCTCTGCGGATCTACAGCTCGTCCAGATTTATGAAGATAAGGTCAGCGAGGTCATCATGATCCTGGAGGCCAACAACGACATCATGAAGTCCCTCAGCAATTTCTATGACGGTTTGCTGAAGAACGATGCCTTCGATGATGTTCTGAAAAGGGACTGCAGAGAAGATATCAGGGATTTGGTGGCACAGATCGGTGACATGATATACGAAGCAAACATGCAAATCCGAAGAGCAAAGCTGCTCGTAAAGATCACAGCGGATCGAAAAGGCCTTGTACGCGTCACACCTGCTCAAGATCAGAAACAGACTAACCGTAGTATAGGTTCTTCAGCATCTTCAAGGGCAGGCCACCGATGCCACCTTGAAGTTGACATGGATGTCCTACAAAGAGGCCATCATCATGAGGATCATCACTATCGTTACGCTGATTTATCTCCCCGCTACTTTCGTCTCGGTAAGGAAATACGTCTCTGTCCACGAGTAATAGACTGATCACAAAACAGACCTTCTTCAGCACCGACGTTGTAAAATATGGAGGCCAAGATGCAAACGAAAACTTCTCAACAGAAGCAATGTTTCGCTGGCTTCAGGTAACCTTACCCCTCAGTGCGGTCACACTCGGGATTGGATTTGCGTGGTATCGGTACCAGACCAAAAAATCGAAAGAAAAGGGAATGCATGTGCTGCCGTACTAAGAGTTCGTAGTGAGAGTTTGGTGTAGCGTTTTTCGCTTTCATTACATGTTTCGTTCGCAGCCTGTTATTGTAGAGTATGAGTGTCTACATTTACGAATTCAATTTGATGGATTGTATGTACTTGTTCATGGTAGCTTGCTTCGCCTATGGTAGCGATTGGTGCAAATCTATCCAAGGCTTCAAACACGGGAGTTTGTATTCTGAGGACCCGACAGAAGAGTCTTGATAGACTTCTAATATTGCAAGCAACAACAGGCTTGTAAAATAGAACTGCAGGAGTTGCAAAAAGAGCTTGCTAAACAGAGAAGGCAGGAGATTAGATGCTCCTGTTAAATATTGTTGGAAATGTCCCTGGTGCGGTCGTCAGAATACAAGCCCCCTCAACAACCACAATAAAGCCGAAGAGAAGGTAAGTGTTTGCCCCATTCTTAAACATTTCGATCCCATGTGCAGCAAACAACCAGTTGGCCAAGAACATATATTTTTCAAAGTGGAGGGCAGATTTGGAGTCTGGGGGCCAATAGAACGATCTTTCAGGACACCAGTCATTTGGGGTGGGCTGGGGGAGACGGACGCTGCCGACGCGGCAGGTACTTGTGCACCATTGGTCCCCGATTTCACGTAAGGGGCACCCGAAAGATGGGGTGCCAAGCTGGGGTTGCGGGACGGAACATCGAGGCGGTGTCAGTGCTCGAAGGCTGAGTTCTCTCTATCGAACCCAACTGTCACCTTGAGAGGCTCAACAGATGCTACCCAGCATGTCCACCAAGCCGAAAAGCCTGCTCGTCATGCGTGGAGAGGGCCGGAACTAGATGGGCTGCAGCCCCCATCCCCTGAACTCTATGGACGGCGACATGGGCTGAGAGGGCAAGATCATTACACACAGAACCGCCAGCCTTGTCTCCTATAACATGACCGAACGCTCACAGCTCCTCCACAGGTGCGCGGTTATCTTCTCTCGAGTCATCTATTCGAACTACCCCCTCCTCCGATCCCTCTCGCCCCATTTCTGGGCATCGAAACTGACACGCGTCGGCCATCCCCTGATCGCAGCTACAGCTTAACGGCTGGACAACCTCAGAGCGAATGCCGCCGATCGCGCGGTCAATTCGCAATCAATAAGAAGATGGAGCGTGTCATGAGCAGACGCGCCGCTTTCGACCAAGCGCTCGCAGACTTTGCGACGAAGGTTGCCGAATATAGCATGAAAGCTGTCGATGGTCGCTCGTACGTGCTTGTGGAAAAACTGCAGAAATGGATGCGAGACACAAATCGGACGACTAAATTAGGCAACAAGTATGTCACAAACATGGATTTGCTGCTTCACGCGGCCTATCACGAACGAAGACACTTCCCTCCAATCGAGCCGTCGCGAATCTTGGACCCCGGACGTAACTGCTGCGTGATCGTTTTCTGCATTCTCCTCGATCTCGAGCTTGGACATTTGATCGATGAATTCTCCAAGAAGACCATTATCGATGCCCGACTCCCTGAAGACCTGTCGTCGTTGAAAAGGAAGCTTTCCCCTCTACAAACCGGCGATGAGGTGGCCGAGCGATTCAACGAAAGGCAGTGGAGGTTCTGCCCAGCCATATTCGGTCTGTATATGGAGGCTGAATACTTCGAAAACAGGATCATCCCTATTTGTCGAAAAACCCATCTCAACAAGGGCGGCACTGCGCGTGTGTGGCGCATCTGCATGCAGTCAGAGTTCGTTGACAAGACTCTGAAGAACATCCTTGACGAGGATAGCTCTGCAAAATACGAAGACAGAGACTTCGGGACTGTGAGTCGGAACCCCATTCTGGAGCATATCGCTGGCAGCCAAACCCAGGAGCGAGATCAGGCTTAGACGCTAATTGCTGTTAACATGTAGTGCTACATTTTTGCGCTCAAGACTTTCGAGGAAGGCCGCTTCCGATATTACGAGAACGAAAAAACAGCTTTCGACGGCCTCCGCTCGAATCGTGGTGTCATCCGTCGCCTTGGCTGCTATTCCCATCGAAACCTGTTACCCTCCGCACCCAGCAATGGACAAGCGAATGGCGGATCCTCGTCAATGACAGTTAAAGACACCAAGAATCTCCTCTTGGAATATGGCACGTACGATTTGAGGTTGATCTTCGGCCATCAACTGCCTCCGGTGTTTCCGATGGAAATACTTGATTTCTGGAAAGCGTTGTTCGAAGTCGCAGACGCTGTATATGGCATTCACGAGTTCGAAACCGGCGGGACCGATTTCTATGGGTATGTTGGTTCGAACCCACCGGAGACCTCACTAACGCAAACTAGCTGGCATGCCGATATCAAGCCAGAAAATATCATCTTTGTTCGCGGGAAGTATAAACTTGCGGACCCGGGTTTCGCTCGCTTCAAGAAGGCACAGGACAAAGGGGCCGCGAAGCAGATCCGTATCCACGGCGGAACGGATACCTACGGGGCTCCCGAAGTTCGCAGCCAGGAAGACGTCACCCAGACCATCGATACCTGGTCACTCGGTTGTGTCTTCTCACTAGCCGCAACCTGGGTGATATTGGGCTACGCTGGTGTTATTCAATTCCAGCGTGTGCGCGAGAAGGCCCTGTACGCGTTGCTTGCTACGATTTACACCGATGACCATCCTCTACTCGTCTCTCAAGGCGTCAAGAACGAGGCGAAACCTACCAAGCTGGACTGTTTTCACAACGGCACCGAAGTTTTGAGTGAGGTCGCAAGCTGGCATGCTTTTCTAAGAAACTCGGTGCGCAAAACCGATCCGATCACAGAAGAGGTGCTCAACCTAATCGATAACAAAATGCTGCTCAGGGACCCGAGCCAACGAATAGAATCTAGACTCCTATGCGAGGAACTCCGGCGGATAGTCACGTTAGCGAGGAAGGTTTTCCAGGACACCATTGCCGCAGAGCCAGCGGACACCCAAGATCGTCTGAAGCAAATAGAAGGCTTGCTACTTGAGATTGAAAACGAGTCAGCAAAGAAAGTCATCGAAGCAGACCCACCCGAACCAACCCGCGCATTCACCAGAGGCCTCTCCATGGACCGAGATGCGCTGAAGGTACAAATGGAACAAGCAGCGCTCAAGCAGACTTCACATCGATTTGAGACGACTGCCGTACCTCGCGCTACCACGCCTGCCTCGGAGGTTGTCTTCAACAAGCCAAAAATTGTGACAAGCGACACGATGGGTGTGAAGGAAGTGATTCATCGCCCGGAAACAGCATCTGAGTCTATAGGGATGTCAACGGCGGAGAAGCGCAAGAGTTTACGGCAGTCGACCTTCGGCACACCACCACGGACCAATACAGGGGCCACAAATCAGACATATCCAAAAGCTCATGAGGAGCCCCCTACCCATGCATGCCAGAACGTCATTCAAGCACGGGAACGAATGGACTTGGAGAGAAAGCGAAAAGGTCCACCCCCCTAGGTGGTATAATGAAGAAAAAGCCTCGCAAGGACGAAGTGTTGAGCAATTACTTCAAAGACCGAGACATTGTGAGTGGGAATCCTTGGTCATTATAGTACATCTCTGACCCGTACTTTAGAAGTTTCTCGTTGATGACTCCGCAACTATGGTCGAGCACTGGGACGAAGCAACCTTCTTGTTGGAGACGACTGTTATGAAAGCCCATGGCCAGGATCCTGATGGACCAGACCTCACCTTTGCAAACAAAAGCTTGGAATTGAAAAAAGAAAAGAACGCGGAAGAGTTCCGTCGAGCAATGTAGAAAGCGTGACCGAAGAGAGAATACAACGTGTATACAAATATCAAGAAGGCGCTCATGCCTATCTTCAACCAGTACCTCATTTAGAACACGGCGAATAAGTCCAAGGTGAATGCGCTCACGGTCATCATAATGACGGATGATTTATGGAAAGGCCTGACGAACAAGAATGAGATTATTGATACTATTGTTTAGTTTCATAAGGATCTCAAGGAGGACATGGGTAAGATCAAGATCGATCGCCAAGTGAGCATCGAATTCATCGAATTTGGCGATGACCAAGAAACGCATGAACGGCTGCGGCGTCTCGATGATGACATGCCTTTCCGCGGCGTCTCGTAAGATCTCCATCACCAGTCTTTCATATACTCTATGCTGACGTTTGCTTCTCTTCTAGCGATATGATTGACACTGAAAAATTCTCCGTTACTAGCAACATCTCCACAATGCTTCTAGGCTTGCTCGTGGAGGCAATGGACATGCTCAACGACGACAGCCTCGAGCACCTCTCTACGATTGACGACACTGAATCATCTCCCTTGCAAACCACTGGACCCACACAAGTCAACACCCTGCCACTGCGATCCATATCGGAGGAGTCGAACGGCAGCAGCTTCTCGTCGTCCACTGCGTCCATGCATTACACGCAGCAGACACTACCATCCCTACCGTCACCACCATTCTCCCCGCAGCAAGCGCAACCAAAGGCAAAGAATAACAGGCTTTCCGTTCCAAGCTTTCTTTCTCGATCGTAATGATGAATCTTTCCTACCGTCCTCGTACCGCATATTCATTTTCCCCTTTTATGGTGCTTCTATATAGCATTTAGATATCGACAGCTATTTAGTAGCCTTACTACGTTCTGTAAAAACCTTCTTCATATATTTCTTTTAAGTTTTGATATACTTTGTGCACTGCATATATATTAGCTACTAAATAACACTGCTTACCACCACCTTGTCGGATGAATTTCCGTCCTCTGGATAAAATCCTAGAAAAATCCCTTCCAGCAACCTATTTTAGCCCAGTTCTCACGGTCTAACTGCCCTCTAATCTAGTCCAAGCAATAGTTAAGCGACTGATCAAGGCTTATTAATATTATACCTCGTTACATTATAGAGACTAAGGCGAGAGACGGTAGACCCTAGCACGTGACTGAAACTCATTGGACACCCTGGTGGGAGCAGGAAATGCTACGTCTCACATTTACAGATTAGAAAAAGTAATATTGCGGACAGCACTGGCGAAAGTGTCTCGGCCCCACGGCAGCAATCCAATAGCAAAGCAACTGGTTTGGTGCATGTTTAGTATGTCGTCATTCATCTTATTTTATCCAGCGTTAGGTTATTCTGTCGTGCTAAGTGGCTGCCGGCCCTGGAAACTTTTAACCCCTGAGCAAGCCTGCTCCCTTGACTAAGAAAAACACACAATGTAGTCATTCACCCTTGAAGTTTATCGAGCAGTTCTTTTTAGCTTTCGTTCCATTGATCTGATTCTAGTCTCCATCAGTGCCGTACATGACTATTTCTCCCGGCTCTGCACTTTCTCTCGGGATTCTTCCATTGGCCTTTTCCACCTACCTTTCGGTCGAGCGTACAAGTTTACTCCAAGCAAGGAATTGATGACTCATCTCCACGTACAGGTTACCTCGTGGATGGATGGTAAGCCCTATAAACCTGTATGGCTCCCTCGATGCTTTAGATCAATCCGAAGAAGACAGTCAGAAACAATACCTAAACTGCGATCCAGAAAGTGAACCACTGCACCTTGTTCCTCCTATCATGCCAAAAATTCCCAATCTAAGGAGGATGCGGCTGTTTGAATACTTCGTGTAAGGCAAGGAGGTCATCGCGCCAGAACTTGTATTTGTCGGCGCAACAGTCCTCGCGCATGATTCACTTGCAGTTTAGTATCTCCAGGTCTGGGCAAGTTGGATTGTCGCCGGAGGAGCGGGTTTCCTCCACCCATTTCCGGACTCTTGTGTCGTTTCGAAGAAACAGCAAGGCAAGGATTTGAAATGTTTCTGCTGCGAGGCCGACTGGGAAAATGGGACTAAAATCGGTCAAATGAGCGGTCTAATATAGGTGGTCCTGGAGATCAAACCTGTTTTGATGCTTGAGGAAGTAAGCATGATGAAAGATGCAGAGCTTCGTATCATTGTCCATAAGCCGGAGGTGGTTAGCAAGATTATTCGTCTATTGGATCTCAAGGCCAGTGAATTTTTTGAGATTGAACGCGGTGAAGGTTGCTCCAAACTTGATTGAATTCGTATCTGTGATGCTCTCTTGAAAATGCTCCTCTAATATAGTTTTCAAGCTCGAATTTTAGTCGCTCCATTCAAGGGCAGGGCAACCTTGAACGCCGTGATGAACTAGGCCGATATCAACTATGGAAATCAACCCGGCTACCAGCCTTACTGAGCCTTCCGCCATGCGCTTTTTCGAGTAATTCGTTTCGATAACACCTTCGCCCTCATTTATATCTCCCTGGAGCATCTCAAGGTCCTATTGGCAGGAGTTAGCTTCCTGTCGCGCGGATCGGCAATAACGCCTGGCTTCCCTTGTCAGGCATTTTAGTTTGGAGAGCAGTGGCGACAGGGTCCAAGTCCACCTGTCGCATTCCTGGTACAGAAACCTCCCTTCCCTGTGCCTCAACAGCCCCTACTACCTTTACTACAGCCCTTTAGCCATTGCTATGGCCCTTACTAACCATACTATTATAGATGTAAATAAATACTCTGCAACAGAGCACTAGATAAGCATATATAGCTTATTTCCTAAATAGGGTTAGCGCTAAAATTAGTTGTAAGTTATAATTATAGACGTCGCTACTTTCTTATAATTACGTGCTTGAAACGATTCACAATCGTATCAATCGTACTACTTTAGAATGGAAACCATGTAAACGTTCCTCTGCCTGAGAAAGACCAGGCTGCGCGTGGGCATCGAACAAACGCCTGTTCAGGGATCAAAAGCGATCTTGTGCGTTCCTATTAGTGGAACAGGGGTAAAGCTTCTCTCGCGCTATCTATCCGCGCCGCGAACCGGGCTTATAACTGTTGCATTTGCCAAAAGGTCAACCCTCTACCAAGCACAGCAGAAGGATATATATAGGCGGACAAATGTACGTGCGACAATCTCCAATGTCTTACCATTCCTCCTCTTCTACTCCATCTCGCGAACTATACGCTGCTCATCCATCTCATGTATCTCCCAGCCACCAGCTTCGGGTATCTGCTTGTCTGCAGCGGTTCCATCTATATCAGCTCTCTCGAACGCGCTTGGTGCCCCTTTGTGTGCTTTCTGCTTCCATTGCCATCTCATAAAGAAGACGATTCCGAGAAGAATGAGAGAGGCAAGGAGAGAACAACTAAACCCTATTCCAGCTTTTGCACCTCTTGAGAGACTAGTTGGGGTTGTCCTTAGCGGCGCCGAGCTCGTAAATAGGGAGGTGATGAGCGTTGTGGTAAGAGTAGACGACATTTGTGATGTGCTGCTGCTGCTGCTCGTAGTAGCGGGTATACTACTCGTAGTCGACGAAGCGGACGACGGTAATAACGAAAAGCCTGGACTCGTTACGGTCGCGATATCTTCGGGATTTGTCAAATTCATCGCAAAGATCTTGAACTTCTGGTTTGATGATATATCGATGTCCCTGGATATTTCCCACGCCATCCCCAGCTCAGTGTTGCCGCATGAATCTCCATTTGTGTTTGTTCCATTTGGATGAATCCTCCAGCTCGGATTCCTGGTGGTGCCATACACGAACACCCATCCTTCTAGTAAGGGCAGCTATTAGACCAGCGAGAAAGGAGAATATCCAAGCCTGGAGATTGAGAACATACGAGTGCTTGTTATTTCAAAGGTATGGCCCTGGGAAAATGCGCTGTCTGCGTCCGTATCGCTAAACCAGGCCAGTAAAAGCCTCCAGAGCTCACTCTGTTTCGACGAGTAGGGTATGTTCCCCCACCATGATAAGTCGGCCCACGAACCTAGAGTATAGCTGCTGTTGAAGTCAGGCCGGGTTGAGTCTGGGACAAACCAGCTTGATGAATTATAATTCTGGTTGCATGTCATGGTCTGAGGCTAGCGATTCTATTGAATTTTTGACGATGAAATAGTAGAAAACGGGCATTGATTTTTGGGGGAGCAATTCAGCCTGGAAAAAGCCCGGCTACATGGTTATCTTATGGCCCCTGCCGGTCATTACATACTCGGAGAGGGGTACGTAGACACCGCTAGGGGCTGGGTATTTGGACGGATAGTCTGTTTCTTCTTCAGGCTGACGTGGTATGAATACTTTAAGTTTCCAACGCAAGATTCACCAATAAATCTGCAGGGCTGAAACGAAGTTCAGGCTGGATCGCAACCCTGGCCGTTGAACAATTACATCCCACAGCTGAATATTCTCAAACAGTGTGCTAAGCGCTGATCCAAGATTCGTAATAGATAAGGCAGATCGCATGAGAATGCAATGGGAATCCTTCCGAAGCCCTTTAGAGTTCCATCCGCCGAGCTCAAAGGGAAGCGCCCCCGCGTCTCACCAATGGCCCATGCGCGCCAATACCAAACCCATCGCGCCAGAGTTTCATCAATCGCTAATAATACGGCCGGCCCCAAACCAAAATCCTCATCGGGACGGCTGCTGGGAGAGCCAGACTCGCGACAGGCTCGTAGTCTAGTAATAACACCACCCGCGTCCTGAAATTTTCGTGGCCCACCCAGTAACTGTGGGCTTAAAATTAAGGTTAGACTACATCTCTTCTAGAGGGCCTAGTTGCCTGTATAGTATATAGTGCGCAGATAACTGCAGAACTAGGTTATAAATAAAGTATCTTAACTTAAAACCTAATTTTATGTGTTTTCTACTTCTATTCTATTTTAGCATGCTTTTTAAGATCATTAATAATTTAACTATAACAAGCTTTTTTCTTTAATATAAAAATCCTTTTACATAGTTTTTACTTTCTTACTATTATTAGCTTAATAGTAGAAAGTAAACTTTAATAACTAAGCTTATAAGTTAGTTACTTTTTATTAAGCTATTACTTTACTTAAAAATTAGTACTATTTAACTATAACTTAAAACTTAGTTAAAAATTAGCTTTTAAAAACTTATATAATAATTACAATAGTATACTTATTATGTAAACTAGGCATAGAATAACCTATATTACTATAGTGCACTATATATCACTAAAGTTCTAGTTATAGATTAACTATTACTTTTATTATAAGTCTTCTAAGAGTAATTAAATAAGAATAGAGAGAAAAGGCTTATAAGTGCTACTATAGAATTAGTTTTATTTATTTATTCTAAACAGCAATAGCAACACTTTAAAACATTAGTATAATATTACTTAAAATAAATATACTTATTTTTAGTTTATTCTAGGCTTATGTTGTAAATTCTGACTAGTTCTAGGATAATATCAACTCTATTTATCTTATATTTGTAGATACAACTTTTTATTTACTTTTAATTAATATACTAAGTTAGTCTAAATCACTTAGTCCTTAGCATGAATAGCAAATACAAGTGTAATGAAAGTTGTAAACTAGAGTATTAACGTGCACCTAACTGTTGTCTCTACAGATTCCTAAAGTTGTAGCTAAAATTGGAAAGAGCGCCACTAGTGGCTAAAGATTCTTTTAAAAATTATTCTGTTAGCAATTTCACAAGGAAAGTATAGACAAGCTTTAGTGCCTATTCTAGGCTAGTTAGTGTTAGAGACTAGGCCAAATGTCAAGAACTAAGCTAATACTTAGGCTTGCTCAGGACTGCTCAGGCTGCCAAGACCCGCTCAGTTTTACACCCTTGTATGCTCAGGTTCGAAAGCGGAAATGGACTTTGGTGAGGTCACTTTTAACCATAGAGTAGGCCGCGTATCTAGTACAGAGGCTACATACATTTGTCCCTATCGTACCAATATATTAAGGAGCCTAGACAAGTAGTTTTCAATTTCCTTCCAGTTCCTTTAACATATTTCTAAGAGAAAAAAAAGGCCATTGGAGTTGACCTAGATCCTACATACTAATACTTGGAGAGGTAGATGATTATTTTTGTATACATAAATACGGATGCTCCTTCCGTTGAAAATCATAAGCATGCATATACCGAATCAGCATGTTTCATTTCCTAGATAAAGTCGAAGCAGCATGTAGAGTCATATAAAGTGATATGGGCTGTCATCTATTCTAGTCTCTGAATGATGCACACGATTGTTACGTCATCCTTCGAAACTGCTCCGTGCATGTGAATATGCTGAGCACTGTTCTAGGAACGCTATTGGTTCTCATACTAGAATAGTACTTTGCTTTTATGAGGGTATGAGATTATGCTTCACGGAATTATGACTTCCTGGTCTTTGCCTACCGGTTTCGCTATGAGACGCATCTATTCATCTCATAGATCCTTTATAACAAGATTAAGCGGAGAAACGTAGAACAGTAGGAGAGCAAGTGTGTTGGATATTATTTCTAGTACGAAGAATGAATGTACTTCGTCACTACTTGTTTCAAGACTAACTTTGGCAGAACTGCAGTAGGATCTAATCTGTGCGTAGAAATTAAGCTGCTTAAAGTCAAAGTACCTCTTATTTGTCTTGGCACGGAGGGCGTCTTGCTACGCAGGGGCGGATGTTAATTAACTTAATTAGTGGTCCTAGGTAAGGCAAAGTTGATGAACTATAAAGACCTTAAGGAGGCACAGGCGAAGCGAACTGCGGAAGAGAAAGTTACCGTGGGCAATAGCGGGTCCTAACAGGCAAAGAAGTGCGTAAAAGCGAAGTGCTGGATCCGGCGAAGGTCCCGGCGTCGTGCGGGACGCTGGAAGCGCGAATATGTTAGAACAGTGTTGTTAAATCTGCTTCAAGGATGATCTTATATCAGAGTTACGCAGGATACATAGGAAGAGAGAATACAGTAGATGCCACTTCGAGATGTGTAGCAGTGATTTGTGTCATTTGCTGACTGCTCTAAAGTTCGGATCTTCATACAGTGATACAGTGCTTGCAAAATCAGCTTCACCCTTGATCACTCTCAGAATCTTAGCCCCACTTTTACAGCATGGATCTTCGGGAAGGAATTATTCTTGGCTCGGCCTTCAGGCAAGGCATAGCTTTATATGTCCCTGCACACTTCGGAGTGTATGGCGCCAATTGAGCTTTATGTCTTCTGAGTCCGGAAACTATTATCGTCATGCATACCTTGCACGTCATTGGTCCATTTTGTGAGCTTGGCAATCTCTCACCAACCCCGCACTTAAAGGCGATCTCTCTCTTTCCATTCAAGTTATTGCTTCCTGTCGACAGTAATTGACTATCGTACTAGACTGGATCTGAACTATCGCAGTGACCGGTAACATATCAACAACTAGGTCATATATCGGAAATTAGCACATTAACTGTATATAGGCCGAACGATCCTCTTTGACCTCTACTGTCTAACGTCGACCCTACCAACCTCTGCACGGAATACTCCTTGCCACTATGTGGGCTTACATCAAATCTATGTTTGGGGGGATAGAAGACCCAGCACCGCCGTTATCTCCCCCTTCGGTCACAATAATAGGTGCAAGGTTTCCCGCGGACGGCTCGCCAGCGCACTTACTATCCCTCAAAACAACGTCTGAGGGAGTTGGTGGTTCACCTGACTCCTTCTTATTCCACGTACCAGATCTGCGAGTGTTCTGGAAGACTCCGCAAGCATGGCAACACCGGGACGTGCAGAGATTGGAAATTGAAAATCAGCCTTTCCTTAACTGCCATGGGGTATATATGGTCTTCTTCTCGTATTTTCTTGACGAGCTACCCCGAAACAATAACTTTCCGGCCCAGCTTATTCCAAATCAAATTTTTTCTGGTGACGTGTTCGTTGTTAAGTTAAAGCCGCATGAATTTGGAGAACATGCCTGGGCGGCTTATGATGACGTTCCTCCGGAGTTTCTAAAGTTGCCTATTATGGGTAGAAGATACTAGTACGGACCTTACGAATTTTCCCAGTAAGGCATAATGACGCAGAGAGTCAGAATTTGGCACCTTTGGGCGGTTGGGTACAAGGCTCGACCCTGAGGCAAGAAATGTAATTACTCTACAATACCTTAACATTTCCCTTACCTTCCCATTCCTTACAAAAATCACCACTTTTATATCACCTAATGTGCATACTTCTCAAGGTGCATACATGTGAAGTGAATATTGCTGCAATGCTGCATATGCCGAGTGTAGACCTCAATTGTAGAATTTGTATATCGCTAGATGCACGTATCTAAAGGCGAAGGATAAGGATTTTGCAGCAAAATTTAACACGGTTTTGCAAGGCGCTTTAGCTGCATCTAGGAACAACACCCTACAAAACAACCTCTCGAACACCGCGGTCCACACCCCGCGGCTTGGTCTTGCTTAACTGACGTAAGTAAATTAAATTATGGTGACTATTCTGGGCGCGTGGCACTTTAAAATAGTCGGGATAGGTAGTCATTTTGGTTAGAGGTATCGATCGTCGTGGCAACCTAATATGGATTTGCGCGCCACATGAGCCATAAGGCAGGTGATGACTTTCCAGCATCGTAGTAAGGATCTAAACCCTCAGATAAGACCCCTTATACTATGTGGTTTGCAGCAAGTGTAGTTGTGTTGTGGCTCGAGTTTACCCGCAATGTGCTCTGAACGTTGGAATAAAATTTCCTTGACACAATGCTACTAAAAACCATTATTCGTGGTGTAGCACGTAAATTAGCCTCAAAGGTCATTACATTTGGCAAGCCACAGCCACGTAAATGAACATGCACTACTATCATATAATGCTGAGGCCTATACCTACGTGTCTTGTTCATTATGCTTGCGCCCTACCTTCTGGGTACAGGCAACCGAACGCACGGAAAAACCGGCCCTGGATCTATCGCATTTGCATCACGATCTGTTCCCCTCCAAGTGGAGGTTAGATTGTTCATGCTGCTTAGCGCAGAGGGATGGTCCCCTACGAGTTTCTTCTGGTTCTATCTCTAGCTGTTATTAGCCTTAATTTTAGTAACCTATCACACTAATGCTGGCGAGTATGTTCACCGCAATTTTCTCTAGAACCTTTCCCTTTACTCTTATAGCCCCTTCAGACATCTCATCTACTTTACTATATGTCCCGTTCTCTATGCATGCCACTCCGCCTTGTGAAGGTATAGACGCCTACTCTTAAACCTTCTCCTAAGGGAACAGCGCTGAGCATATGGTCATTCTCCGGCTTCCCTATTGGGAACACCACGCCGAGGTTCTGGATGTGCCGCTGTTTCTACTTCTCAAAATCGCAATATGCTTTTAGCTACTGCTGCATTTCCAGCATCCCAAACGTTGTTCCCTTCTTCCACAACAGTGACAAATGAGCAGTTTCTCAGCATGATCAAGTAATCCTTACCAGCCACTGTAAGAATTCCTTCTTTTGTTCCCTCCATCGGTACGGTGGGAAAGTCACCGCAGATGCCGCGTTGTCAAAGCTTCCCGTTTATGTGATTTGGGCTTCCCAGATTTCATCTCGACGACAACGGAGCGTTGCAGGAATCCCTTGCTGGTTGAAGAAGCTCCTCAGCAATATTTTCAAGGCTGCTGATGGTCTGCCGTATGTAGCTGAAGGAGATCTGTTACGGAATGCAAATGGAATTCTTAGCCTCTCGGTCTCTACGAAGCTGTCCTGCTTCGTGGTTAAGCAGGCGCGTCTTCTCTCTATCACTTGTATTGTGTATTATGTGATATATAGGGTCCTGTGATATTGTATTATGTGGTGTATAGTTTCCTGTGATGTTGCACAAAATGATACCGCCGCCATCACTTTCACCGTCACCGTGAGGCCTTTTACGGCAAACAGCATATCCCAATTAGGCATAGCGTTGCTACACAGAGGTTTCAGTTAACCCCACTCTGGCAGGCTTATTATTATCTCCAACCCGCTTCCAAGACGGGGCTTGACCCTAATAACGCTTACATCAACTATTGTTGCTATCTCGAGATACTCACACACCAATGCCGAACTGAAATGGCCACCCTCGACTCCCTAAAGCATGCCCTTAGGCAGAAAGCCAAGGCAACCGCGTCGTCCCCGATGCAGCTGTTGTCCGACACACAATACAGCGCTGGCTTTGATATCTTGATGCAAGGCCCAGGGTGGATGACGTATCAAGATTTCATTATCCCTCAGCTATCTCAGCTGCTAGCCCCTCTCTTCAACTCGCGTATCCATATCTCAGCACTAGAAATCGGACCCGGCCCGAAGAGTGTACTTGGATATCTCCCCAGCCGTCTGAGGCAAAAGGTTAGGAGATACACTGCATTTGAGCCTAACGGCTTGTTTGCTAAAAGGTTGGAAGAATGGCTTTGCTCTACTTCTGAGACCGAGTCCCCGCTCCCCTGTCTGAAAACCCCGCCTGGCATCCACGGAATTCCATTCGCTCTGCAGGACAGCATAGGGAGAGGTAGCAGTACTGGTACGAGTAATAACGACGAAAAATACGACATCATCCTATTCTGCCACAGCATGTACGGCATGAAGCCCAAAAATAGATTTATTGAACGGGCGCTGGATATGCTTGTTGAGCGGCCACAAGGCGGAATGGTGGTGGTTTTCCATCACGACGGGGCCTTGCACTTTGACGGCTTGGTATGCAATCGAACGGCTTCTTTCCCCACTGGGGTCGTTCGCGTGGCAAATGACGATGAGGTACTGGACTGTTTCGCCCGTTTCGTCGCGGGGTTTATCATGCAGGATGCAGACGTGGACAAGGCTATCCGACTCGATTGGCGTAACGTGTGCCGCACCTTGGGCCGTCGCGAGGAAACCTACCCAGACCATCTCTTATTCAGCTTGCCCAACATCATGGCAGCCTTTACTCAGCATGCGACCACGTTGCCGGAACTAGCGGCGCAGGTGCCACTGGTGAAGGGGGACAAGACAGTTAAAAACTGGGAGGCTTGCCTCCACCGCCCTGCCTCGATTATTAGGCCGACAGAGGTCCGACACGTCCAGCAGTGCGTTCAATGGGCCCTGAAGCACGGGGTCGGCCTGACCGTTGTTGGTGGGGGTCATAGTGGCCACTGTCTCTGGCCCAACGTTGTCTCGGTCGACATGGGCGCCTTTAACCAAGTACACATTCTCAGGGCGGGGGAGGATGGAGGAGATTCTGGTTCCGATCCCGGTTGCTTGGTCGTCGCTGAGGCCGGCTGCAAAACGGAGGATATCGTCCGCAAGGCCATGGCAGCAGGTGTGACAGTACCCCTAGGAGCTCGCCCAAGCGTAGGTGCAGGGCTATGGCTACAAGGCGGCATTGGGCACCTGGCTAGGTTGCACGGGCTCACTTGCGACGCTATTGTTGGTGCCGTTGTGGTCAGCGTCGACCCTACTTGTGGCAAAATCCTCTGCATCGGCCATGTACCAAGCCAACAACAGCCCGCTGGTGCCGTTCACCCGGAAAACGGACTCGATCTATTATGGGCGATGAAAGGTGCTGGGACTAACTTTGGCATCGTGGTCAGTGTGACATTCAAGGCTTTCGCAGCTCCGACCTACTTGACTCGAAATTGGGTTGTCCCGCTTATTGACAACCTCGATGCGCGGCTCAGGCTCAGCGAATTTGATAAACTCATCGCCAGGAAGCTCCACTGGAACTGTTCTGCAGACGCATATCTGTACTGGGACGCCGGTCAGCTGCATCTTGGCGTGACCATGTTCGAATCTTCCACAACTGGGCTCACCTTTGCAACACCCACACCCGTAGACGCAACCCCGGGACTGGAAGATGACCCTAAGGTCGTGGACAGCGTTAGTTTGTTCGAGACCGAGATGTACGTGTCCAGGATGCATGGCGGGCACGGCGGCGGCAAGACCTCATCGTTCAAGCGATGTTTATTCTTGAAACACATCGGAGAAGCGAATGTCGCCGACCACTTAATAGCGGCGGTTGAGACTCGTCCCTCGCCGCTCTGCTATCTCCATCTGCTGCAAGGTGGTGGAGCGGTCGGCAACGTTGCGGCCGATGCCGCTGCTTTTGGCTGTCGAGACTGGGACTTTGCCTGTGTGATAACCGGTGTCTGGCCCCGCGATCAAGATGGCACCGAGGTCGCACGATCTGCTGTGCAGTGGGTTTACAGTGTCGCCGGGGACTTGTTGTCCCTAAGTAGCGGAGCTTACGGCGCCGACCTTGGACCAGACCCTCGAGACGCCGCGCTGGCGGCTAAAGCGTTTGGGCCAAACGGGCCGCGCCTAGCCCGTCTCAAACAAACCTTGGACCCACATAGTGTGCTAGCTTACGCTTGTCCACTCCCGAAAACGCTGATGGAACGTAAGCTTATCATTCTTGTTACGGGCGAAAGCTGCGCCGGCAAGGACTTTTGTGCCAACGTCTGGGTCTCCATGCTCAAAAACCTTACGGCGCGTGCAGTCAGCATTAGCGATATGACGAAGCGAGAATACGCGGCGGCTACGGGTGCCGACCTGAGCCTCCTGCTTTCGAACCGTGCCTACAAGGAGCAACACCGGCCAGCGTTGACTACATTTTTCCAAGAACAGGTGCGACAACGACCTCGGCTGCCAGAGGAACATTTTCTGAATGTCGTGTACAGCGCAGTAGATGTGGACGTACTGCTAATCACTGGGATGAGAGACAAGGCGCCGGTCGCAGCCTTTTCGCATTTAGTGCCAGACAGGTTACTCGAGGTTCACGTCCAAGCTAGTGAACAGACGCGGTGGACTCGCCGAGGGTTCCATGGTGGTAACAGCGATGGTGACGACAACAAGGACAGCAACAATAGCAGGTCGAATTTGACGGCCTTGGACTGCCGTCCTAATCTCATCTTCAACAACGACACAACCGGAAATGAGGCAGCAAAGAGGTTTGCCGAACGTTACCTACTTCCTTTCTTCCACGAGGACCTGCAGCGACTGGCCAATATGGTGCGCCCGATACCCGATTTCCCACGCCCGGGCATCGAGTTCCGCCACGTGCTCGGCATCTCCCAGCAACCGGGTGGGCTCGCCTTGTGCACGTCTCTGCTGCAAACCCACTTCACCGGTGACTGGGCCAAAGTCGATGCGTTGGCGTGTTGTGAGGCCGGTGGATTAGTCTATGCGTCGGCCTTGGCCTCACTAGTCAATTTGCCTCTGGTGCTGATTCGCGAAGCTGGCAAACTCCCCCCTCCCACCCTTTCTGTTATCAAGCCCCCGTCGCATATTTCGTCTTTGGCATCCAACGATTCGAAAGAGAAGCGGATCGAGATGGAGCGGGATGTAGTCCCCAGGGGCGCATCAGTGGTGGTGGTGGACGATGTGCTTTCCACGGGGAAGACGCTTTGCGCAGTGCTACAGCTATTAGATGAAGCTGGCGTCGGTGCCGAGGATGTCAGCGTCATGGCCGTGGCCGAGTTCCCAGTTCACCGTGGCCGGGAACTCCTACGCCAACGTGGGTTTGGCAGAATTAATATTCAAAGCCTTTTGGTCTTTGGTGGTGCGTAGGAAGGAAAGGATCTCGGAATTTAAGATTTGTAATAGGAATAACTTGTGAGATGCATGATTTGGTCAATTGGCAACTTCTGCCTATCATTTATCTCAGTGGGCAGGTTTCATATGCAAATTAGTCTTTATGCTCCTTCAATCAATCTCGCTGTCACGACTAGGGTCGAAGAGTGGGCAGCTAAGGGCAGGCCCAAGACCAACGGAACGCGAATGGATTGGAAGGAGAGAAAGAACATTAACCTACGCCAGAGGGAGGTGAGCCATAGCAGGACGAAAAGCACAAGGAACGAATTTAGTAACCCTTAAAATTCCAGTAGGAGTTCTAAAACATAGCGCAACAACAAAAGGAGGTAGTGACATGTGTTCGAAATTGGGGTTTCCTTACAGTAGAAATACGGACACCCCTTCCGGGCTTTCCGTTTCTCCCACAATTCCTCTCCCAATTCACTTCATCATTTCGTGATTATTTCGCACATGACACTTCACTATCAAGCTGAGAAACTACACAGTATTGCCCCTATATCTTGACGCCTTGTCTCTTTGCCGATTTCAAATCTATATAATTTATTTCCCGCCTCTATCGTCCCCCCTTTCCTTATCTCACATTCCACCCTCACCTCCCCTCCGCTCCAACCCACCAAATCCAAGTGGTCAGGACCTTGATGAAAGAACATAATGCGCCTCCGAAATACGAGTCGCATTGGCACAACTACCTGTCCTAGCTGGGCTGGACTAGAGCGGATTCGAAACCTGAGTAGCTTGCGTTATCTATGTGCTAGTTGGCCGTATTAACCCTTGACCCGATAGGTTGAGCCATTAACTATCGTACATGGGCACTTTGGTCGTTTTGGACCCTCGCGGCGTCCGCTCTCCATACGAAATCCTTCCAGATATAAGGCGAGCCAGCTTGAGATCCTCATTGAGGTTGAACTGGTGCGCACAAGTAGCCGTAATGTAGAGTTTTCGCAATGAGGATGATAGAAATTTTATTGGTTCATCGAGGATGCTTGGGCCTTGCTACCTGATATGCCTGTTTCTACAATAAAGAAATTCGCTCAGTCACTTCAGTGTTGGGGCATTCATCTTCCAACAATATTGGATGCCGCTAAAGCATTCTAACCCTCCAATAGACCATATTGATGAAGAATGCCCTTGGATTGCTGGAGGAAATTGAAAATCTCGAGAGTAGCAGCACCCGATATGGTGAGTCTGGTGACCTTAATTACACCTTCCATAATTGCAACCGCTATGCCGTTCTTCTCCGACTGGGCGTCTACCTCAGCCACCGTGAAAGCCAGGGTATGGCAGATGTCTCCGAACCGCTTAATTCTCTGCATTCTAAACTAAAAGTTCCCGGCGTCTCTGAATTTGCTAGCGCCCATGTTAATTGCATTCAAAAATTGACTGCGAGCGGAATACGACCCATATAGGATTTCGCAAGTAGCGTTGAACTCGAGCCTGTTGAGAAGTCAATCTCCATTGACGAAGTATCTACGATAATCTAAGGAGAGGGTAAATTGCAATGCACCATTTGCGTAGGCGCCACTGGTATCGTAGCAGAAGTACGGGCCAAACCACGGAGTCATACTTTCAGTAGGACATGCTTGGAGAGCTAGATTTATACTTGCCAGCCTAACTCGCACACTTTCCCTGGGTGAACTGAGCTCTTTCCTAAACTGGAGTATTGGGCTAAGAATCATGCCTAGGCCGTAAATTACTAACAGGAGCTAGGTGCTTTCCACCATCACGTGCAATGGGATATCGGACAGCGTATGGTGGATTACTGTAGCAGGCGCGTTTCATGAGTGGCACGATCGAATCTAACTGAGTCTTTGAATCGTCGGGGAGTGTATTCAATCTCATGCGGGGAGATTTGACTAGAGTCAGCTAGATGAAAATACTAAATGCAAACACTGGTCTGAGGGTAGGCACATGCTCGGAGCACTGAGTTGTAACCTAGAAATAAAAAAACTGATCCTTGAAATATAGCGACTATTCGCCGTGATGTAATATTTGGGGTGCCACTGCCTAGTTTGTGGCATTCTTTCCCAGAGCGGCGGCAGCTTCTTCTATTTAGCACTACCAAAAGTCCTAGATTCCGTGTCACCTGGTTCCCCTTTACCTACACACCAACTAAAACTTCATTTTTCCCTATGCTTGTCCTTCTGATTTCACCCGCGGGAATCGCAGTCTCACCATAATGCCCTCTCACCATCGCCTAATTCAGAACCCTACCGCTGCCCAAGGTAGCACTCTATGTTTCACGGTCATGGCTGAAGTTCGGACTATATATGAGGCTGCATGGTTTCGACGTTCCTCCCGCAGGATTCCGCGGCCGCTGCCAGCGGTAAGGCCAGATTTGCGACCGGCCAGGCATCTAGCAGAATCTGAAAATGTCTGGTACACGCTCCCGGACGTACCATTCGACGCTGCTCTAGTGGCGCTCATCCAAAACGCCGCCCAGGGTATTCATACCGGCGTGCTTCGTCTTAATATTCCAGTTTCGCCAGATTTTCGCATCATCGACATCACCGAAGCCAGTTGCATCGCCTCATCCACGATGACCAAGGTGTTATCACCCGGACAGGCCCTCCTCAAATCTGAATCTCCTCTACCTCGCCCCAAAGTCTTACCCACCAATTGCAGCACCAGAATATATACTCTTCCCCACTGGCTAGTAGAGATGAATGTGGTCAAGAGTAGAGACAAGCCACTCTTTTTTTTCCTGTGCGAGTCTCTCCAATCGCATACGCCGAACTACATCCTTGCAAGATGGGACTTCTTACGTCAGCGTATGTTCACCGAAAATGAAACCATCGCAATCCTAGTGCGGCGTGCAGAACAGGAACCTCGAATACAATGGACCGGGATCATGCTGGAGTTTTATTTCCTCCTACTCGACCACACCGAAGCCCTCACCGCGACAGCACCAACGCTCGAACCCCAACTTGGCAGCCTCGAACTACAGCTGAGCGCCCTCGCCATAGCCATTCGCATTGAGTACTATCTGTTTCGTATGACGAGAGACCATCGAATGTGCGGAAAGCGTGCATACAGGCGGCAACTATCCCAGAGCGAGCTTCCGGACTTCATGAAAGAGCTGGACGGACTTCTTGAGCAAGAGTTGGCACGCATGCAGGAACCTGGTATTGGTCACTTCCAGAGCACAGAGCGTGAACTCATCGGAGAACCTGTCAAGGTCGACTCCATTGCTAGCCCTGCCCCTTGGGCTGCGTCGTTCTTCTGCAGTATCTGCCAGGATAGCCACCCAGCGGCCGAATCTGTCAAGCCCCACAATTGCCAGTGCATCTTCGGTGAGAATTGCCTTGGTCCAATCCTCAACCGTGATGTCCCTTTCAGTAACGCTTGCCCAAATTGCCGCACACAGCTTCACGAACCCCTCCAATGGTGTTCGGTTCTCACCCGCGAGCAACGAGATTGGCGCACAATATTGGTTTGGAATCTGAGGTCCAATTTGCAGAGCCTGAAGAAGGAAATCAACGCCGACCCGGACCCTTTCACACCCCGTGAGCGTATTGCTGGCTGGGCCGGCCGGCTCCTTCACGGACTTTGGGGAGAATCTGGTGGTGGGGTGAGAGTAGGTTCGGTGGTGCCGACTCCGCACTCAATTTCTGTGGGAATGTACAATTAATGATCAGGCACATGATCTACTAAACTTCAAACCTATGATTGTAAGTATACCTAGGTAGCTGATGGCATCATTTGAAGGATACGGCCTGGAGTCTCCCTGCCAGTTTTCACAAATTTGCATGGAACAACTGCGAAAAAGGGTGTGGAATTAGTGGAGGCGCTCTAGAAGATTGTAAGATAATTTCTCCTAGGAAGCATGAGTAATATTATTGACCAATACGGTTGGGGACCCGAAAATGCAGAGTGTGTCGATGATATGTCCACGGGCATAAGTGAAGGCTGAAGGGCACGTGCTGTCCGTTTCCTCATGCGCTGCGCTCTAACTAGCATAGAGCTATCCCGACTTGTTCTTCTCTCCTCCTATATATTTTGCCCATTAATTCTGCCTCCGTTTAGCTTGCCCTTGACAACCTTTTAATCGGCCTTCAATTCCATAGCGTTAAACAAACATTTCCAAGAATTCTGTGCAGCCACACCACCAATATACGACCCTATCAGCTCACCCCTTCCTTCCTTCTGCCTCAAAAACTACGGTTCGTGCAGATCCTCTAGCTGCTCTTGCGGTACAATCGCCTTCTCACTGATCTCATAATACGTTTCCCCCGTTACCTTCCACCATACGGCATATTCCAAAGCGTCTTTAAAACCTCATTCTCTGTATGTCTCGCTGCTATGCTATCAAGAAATCTCACTGTGCTCGTTTTAGCCCTTTTTTCGAACACTGCCACAACGTTACCTTAATCTGAATCACTAAATTTCAGCGAAACGAATAGCGAGAGGCTGGCAAAGATGCTGTAGGTTTTCTTGCAATGGGATGCAGTATACGTTAAAGAGGAGCGGCCGTCATCTCTAAGGGCTCTAACAAAACAGCTGAACTAAATAAAGCATATTAACAGTGGAGGATCTCTACAAGTGGAGGGCAGGCAAATTGGCGTACCGCGCACTATAGAATGCCGAACTGTGCATTCCCCAAAGCCACTAAGATCGGACAAGAAAGAATGCTTAGATCCGCACCAACCACGACATTAGCCATATCTAATAAACATTGCAGGTGTGATGGTTACGATGCATAGCTACAAACCCGTCTTATCTTGCGACCGACGTTTTAAGACAACCCCTTACACCCAGTCTAAGAATCTAATCCTCAATCAGCGGCACCAGCACAAGAACACTCTACCATTTCAATAAAATTTCACAGGCAGACTTTGTTGGTGGTGTCCCTTTTGAAGTTCTATCCCCGCCATCTGTATTTATCGTGAAACAAGTCCCACAAATTACGAGTCTATAGCTAGCTTGAGTCTTAAATGTAGAGCACTAGAATCTGCAGTGTGTCTTGTCAATAAAACCTATCAGGCTATACCACAGACAGTGACTGAAATGAGATGTGAATTCGGGAGTAATTAGGAGGATGATTCGTACGCCAAAGTTCACTCGATTTAAGACATTCACGCCCACACCCTTAAATTTTTTCGGCCTCGAATACTACTTGCTTCTCCCCTAAATAGTGTCACCAATGCCGTCGCCAAAACAAACTACAGACGTGTAGACGGAAACGATTGTCTCCAGAAATGGTTTGATGGACGACATACCATTGGCCTCTTTGCTAGGGTGCAACCCCAGGCGAAAATCATGGAATTGGATGAAAAAATCGATAGATAATTACGGGAGTTGGATATGCAAGATGCGAACGGAGGAATATTTGTTCGGTTACTTTGGCAGAAGGGAGATGCCTGGTTAAAGTGGGACGCGGAGTGGGAAGAGATGGGGAATCGCGGTGTTTGGGAACAGGAGGGGCTTTCACTCCCTATCACAGTACATTGGGGGAAGACAAAGGTTGAAGACGTTGTAGAGATTGCTCTGAGTGTCAAGGTGATAATGGCTGACAGTTCGAAAATATCAAGGCGTTTGTTCGGATAAGCTACACTTGGCAGGCGGTGAAGGGTATCGGTGCGTACCTTTAGTTGGAATATTAACCTTCAACTTGCTTCCAAGGAGCATTTGGTGGAAGGTTAGCCAATTTAGCTTCAAAATCGAACGGCATACGATGAATATTCATGGGTAACAGGATTGGATGTAAGGTTTCATCTACGGCACAAGGAGTTCGGAGGAGAGGGGGCGAAGGGGTGAGCGTTTCCAATGGCTAAAAGATGTCCAGTCAGTTTCTTTCACCTGGAAGGATGCTAATTCATTTGAGAAGCGGCTCTGCGTTAGGTGTGGCGAAGACCATGATGGTGAAGGTTCAGAGATTAGTCTATTTATTGTGTTTCGGAGATAATCCTTACGGCCTTATGGCCATCAACTCCACCTCCAGAATTTAAAGGACGTTGGTGTAAGCCAATTTTGCTCTTGAGTCATTTCCACTTTCGGGGAATTGGGCCGTGTTTCTGAAAGTGATAGAGGACTATAGAGAGTAAAATTAAGGGTGTATCGCGAAGCCCTCTTCATCCGTTCGCGGAAGCAGTGGAATTTTGGAGAGCCCGCTGTAGGGGACCAAATCAAAGAGGGATGGCATCACATCCCCACCTTCAGCATTTACCCATCACGATCGTGGCATTACGAGAGGAAGCGAATCAGGCAAAGTGAAGTCGGTTTTTTTATGGTATAGCTATCTGAATGGTACCCAAACACAACCAAATGCTGAAGTGAAAGCGTCCAGCATGCTGGAAACTATCTCCAAGCAAGACACCCAAGCAAGCAATGAAAGCAAGAACCAAGCCGCGCTTCGGTAGCAGCCCCTCCTCGCTGCTACAGTGATGCCCCTCCCTTTGACAGATGGCACCCCCTCGCGGAAAACACAATAAAGCATAGACAGAAGGAAAGAAGAGAAATGGAAAGACAATACTTAGAATGAGGCCTACAAGCTGACGAGAGTGTGAGGGCGACGGTGACGGCGAGCTTATATAGGTGCTTGGGGAGAGCTAGTCTTGGCGCCACGTGATGGCTGCAGTGGTAGTGAAGGGGATTGGTGATTGATGCTAGGTGATATCCTGATTGGGGCAGAAACTGCTAGAATATGGAGGCGGAAGTAATAGGAAGAATTGAGGTGCAGATGGAATTTTCACTATCGGTGACGTTGGCTGGCCAACCCGGACTCTGAAACGCACTAGAACAATTAAACAGGGGAATTTTTAAAAATTCCAACATCTTTGTGAAAAGCTCTGCCACTGAAGAGGCTGCACACCCAGGTGAGCGAAATAGTGGCGGGCAATATTGATGGGATAATGAGCGAAATAGTGGCGGGCAATATTGATGGGATAATGAGCACAATAGTGGCGTAGAGCGAGAAACTCACTTGATATTCCACATATATGACAGATTAAAGCAATTTGCAATACGTGTAGTTACTTAGGTAAGCATAATGTGTCTTAGAGGGGTGTAATCCTTGTAGTGAATGATTTGGTCACGTGCTACGGTGTGTCTTTGGGTCGCGAAGTGACATATCTACTTATTTATTTCAGTAAAATAGTATCAATGAAGCGAAATTTACCGCAGGTAGCCCAGCAGGCACGTATTCTATCAGAGAATCTCTAGATATGCGATTTTACTCTGCTCGATTAAAACCTCAGTCCCTAGGGAATTAGTACTTTGGCGTTGCGGATTCACAGTTTCTACGATGAACCAGGGATGATGATAGAGACTAGATTCATAATAGTTGACTGAAAAAGTCGGAACGTAGTGGAGTAGGGTCCCGAGTCATGATTGATAGCCGCGGCCTAGCCAAGAATTCGACCAGCCCTGTGTTTCTTTCACGCCCATTCGCAGAGACCGGTAGCGGAGAGCGGAGAGCGGAGAGCGGAGCAATAGACCATTGATCTTCCGGGAAGTTGTCATTGATCTAGCCTAGCTTTATTCCATACTGGATAGGCTTCGAGCTACTAAATTGCTGATAGAGACTCATCCAGCGACTCGCACTAGCCAAAGGTGGAGGGACAGCGGAGCTCGGAGAGGGGATCCTGGGGTGAGAGGAACTCGAATTTGACAAGAAGAGTCGCTGCGCAGCTTTCCAGTTCACATTAGATTGTCTTTCAAATCGTACAATGCAAATGTTTAGCAAAAGAAACGAACAAGGCCAAAAAGAAACCTTTTACGGATCCGTAAGCCAAGAGAGTAACGTTGCACTGACCTCATGGTGGGCCTTGCAATTGGGGATGACAGATGCCAAGGAAAGCTAAAAAAACCTCGGGGGTCTTGGTTTCCTGGGCATCGTCGACTTCCAATTCACCTTAAATCAGACCTCATCTCATCGATTCATCTGTCTTCGTCCCTATCGGCTTCCCGCAACATTAAATAATCGTTGCCCATCCCTCCATACGACTCCATGCGCATATCACAAACTAGAGGAATATCGGCGCACTGACAAATATTTTCTCGTATTCGACTCCTCACGGCCGGATAACGATCCTGAGGAATCTCAGCACGTGCTTATGGCACAGCTCTGTCCTCACAACTCCATCATGTTGTATATGAGTCTCAAGTATCCGTTCAGTCAATCTACTTGGCATATATTTCCTCGCTGTCAATCTCTTCCTCACCTAGATCACTTGCCCCTCCATGATAACCACAGTGGACGGGGAGGATCCTTTGGCTGATGCGATGAAATCGTGCGGCGTAGCAGAGTATCACCTCGAAACCGCGCGATACGGATATACACTCTCTCTATCTAAATGACTAACGCAGGCATCATCCGATAGTCATCCCATATCCTCATTATCTAGTGCTAATGATCCACCTCAGACATGGCTTCAAGACATTTTGCACTGTCCCGACAATGCGGAAATGAAGACAAACAACAGCGAAACGTCCGCGTTATCTGCAAAGCACTGACAATCTGTCACACCCTGCACTGCCGTTAAGTGTAAGCACAAAAAAAGAGTCATCTTTCACGATTTTACTACAGTATTCAACGCTGCTCTTTCCTTTATGCCACTTTCTTTGCGAGTGCGGGGAACTGACGCCAAACAACAAGCCTTGTCGCAGACCGTCGAGATAAGCACCAGCCACAGATAACGGCCAGGGCACTCATAGGTGAATATGTGCTGGTGTGACAGCCCACCGCCCTATGCAGACTTCCTTTGTACCCAGGTTAGCGGAAAAGCACAACAAATGCCATGCATTGCCATCCCCGCCGCTCGACTTGGACGGGGATATTTGGGGGTCAGTGGGGTATTGAAGGCAGGGTTCCGAGCTCCCATCCAGGCTATAAAGCAGGTACTGCAGTATTGGCTAGGGTTAAAAGTCCGCGCGAGAGCATCACCTCGATCTTTTTCTCTTCCAACCGTGCTGCCCAGTCTCTCCATTTTCCTCTCCATTTTGCATCATGACAACGCCTTCCCCCACCAACCCGGACTGGTTGAACAAAGGCGACAATGCCTGGCAGCTCACCGCTGGTAGTCTTGTCGCCCTCCAGAGCGTTCCTGGTCTGATGATCCTCTACGCTGGCATGGTACCCACTAAATGGGCCGTCAACTCTGCCTTCATGGCCTTCTACGCCTTCGCCGCCGTTCTCATCTGCTGGGTCGTTTGGGCATACAAAGCTGCGTTCGGCGAAAAAATGCTTCCATTCGTCGGCACCCCAGGCCCTGTAGTTGCCATGAATTGGGAGCTTAAGCAGGCTGTGCTACCAGCAGCTAAAATCACGGCAAACTTTCCCCTGAGCACTATGGTCTACTTCCAATTTGTCTTCGCAGCTATCACACTTATCCTTATGGCGGGCGCGTTTCTTGGCAGAATGAGTTTCCGCGCTTGGATGGTATTTGTCCCTCTCTGGCTTACGCTCTCCTACACTGTTGGTGCATTCAGCCTTTGGGGCGGAGGTTTCCTCTTCTGGAAGGGTGTCATCGACTACTCCGGAGGCTACGTTATTCATCTCTCATCTGGCACAGCCGGGTTTGTCGGAGCATACTGGATTGGTCCACGACTTAAGACTGACCGGGAGCGATTTACGCCACACAGCACACTACTTATGCTCACCGGCGCCGGGATCCTCTGGATCGGGTGGAACGGATTCAATGGTGGTGACCCATATGCCGCTAGCCCTGATGCAGGTGCTGCCGTCCTCAACACCAACATCTGTACCGCAATGAGCCTCCTAGTCTGGACAGGTTTGGATATAATATTCTTTAAGAAGCCCTCCACCATCGGCGCCGTCCAAGGTATGATCACCGGTCTCGTCGCCATCACCCCCGCTGCGGGTGTCGTCGCCGGCTGGGGTGCGGTTATTATTGGGGCCTGCTCTGGCAGCGTCCCTTGGATAACCATGAACATCGCAGGCAAGCGTCTCAAATTCTTTGAGAAAGTTGACGACACACTTGGTGTCGTGCACACCCACGCTGTCGCTGGGGCCCTCGGCGGCTTCCTCGTCGGCATCTTCGCGACCGCAGAAGGCTGTCTCGCTTTCGCCGCTGTTTCGCCCGGCGGCGCGATCGCGGGCAACGGCAAACAAGTCGGTTGGCAAATCGTGGGCGCTTTATTCATCATCGGTTGGAACATCTTCTGGACGTCCGCTATTCTGCTGTTTATCAAGTACGTCTTACGCATTCCTCTGCGCATGACTGAGGAGGAGCTTTTGGTGGGTGATGACGCAATCCATGGGGAGTCCGCATATACATTTTCTGAGCCTCGTGATCACCACCATCCTATGACGCTTCATGGTCATGATCCTGTGAAGAAGGTTCCGGATGTTGAGGCTACGGGAGAGGCGGGCAGTTCGAGCTCGAAGACGAAGACGGCGGCTGGAGTGCAGCCGGAGAAGCAGGATTGATTTATTGGGAGGATTGGGGTTGGGATGGGGTTAAGTGAACTGGGGGTGTATATAATTTGGTCGCTAGAATACTTGGTTAGAGACATAGCCCGATTTTTAATAGTTTATAAATTGCGTTAAATGATCTCCTTGATCAGACACTAATACCTTTTAGACACTGTGCAGCCTTGCAAAATGAAACGCCGTCCTGTAACCCTGCAACACTTGGGACCTGTCGCTAAAGTCCAAGCATCTGTCTCTTAGCTCCAACTCACCACCTCCGAAGTGGTGCTCGTGCAGTGCTGACTTGTCTTGGAAGGACTGCGCTGTGTTAACCTAGTCGCTCCCAGATTCGAGGACCTAAGTTTGTGATCGGGGCGCAAGCGGGTGGGGTAGTCCTCGCCGGACAGTATACCTGCCACCGTACCGGTACCTGGTATTCTGAATGCCATTAAATTCTGCCCCACCCCACCTAGAAGAAGTAGGCGATGCTGTAGTGTTGTTTGAAGGTTAGTTTAGCGTTGAGCTGTGTATATTGCTCTAGATGGGAGCGGATCAGGAGATAGCGTTATGAGATGTGTGGGCTGATGTTGAACTGTGTGTCCGGGTGGAGTTAAAAGCAGAATATGTGATCTGGTTACCATTGAGCTGAAGAGGGCAATGAAATAGTGGAAATCTTTGATATCTGACTTGGCGTTGAGCATAGTTGAGATTTCGGCGTCTCACTCGGACTCCCGCTTAGGGTAGCGTTCGATGTGTCTGACATGACTGTATTGGGTGGCGTCGAATTCGATCCCCGAGAGCCATTCTCATGGCTATTGTGATTGTTATTATTAATATTGTTGCTGTTGTTATTTCCTCCCGACCATATGCCTCCATGGTGTTTAATAGAACGTAGTACAGTTCCTACTGTTACCGATAGTAGCAATCTCTTGGCAGTTAGAACGAAAGTGAATTGCCTTCTGTTACTGTACAGTTAATAAGTCTATAGTTACTGCAGCAACTGCCTATACTAATTAATTTCTTAATGTTTTAGTAACGCGTTCGCGGAGGACGTTTTCGCGCATAGTAGTACGAGGGCTGCTGTGGAATAGGAGGCACGCCCGGCAATAAGCTGCAGCAGTACATTTATACTGCTTAATCTGAACTCTTTGTTGCAGCTGAAGACGATATATTCTATAGAGATCCACTCACTAGGTGGCATTAAATTCAGCGTAAGCACTAACTAACGCTGTACAAGATAGCTTATGACTTCCTATCTATCCCTGCTACAAACTATGAGTGTGAGACCCTCTAGAGCCTTTAGAAACACTAGTTACCGCAGTAACTGCACTAAACAGTAGCTTTATAATTAATTAACCTAGTAGTAACTGTCATCGCCTGTAAGGCTGTTTTAATTTACTCTCTCTGTAAGAATGAAACTCTATTGCTGACAGTAACGCCTTAAAAACACTACTAACTGTAGCAGTTACGTTCCATTAAACACCATGGCTCTAAGACGGGCTGCCTAGTCAACCTTGGGCTTTGCGTTCCACTATACTATATCAATCACATAGCAGTAGATCCAAGGCTTCACCGTTCCGAATGAAAGTGATCCTTAGACGCAAGGGGAATGTTGAAGTACGTGTTTTAAATGAAGCCATACAATCAATTGAATGGACTTTCGCTCACAGCCAAAAAGAAACATCAGGCTTGTGACAAAGGAGGCATCCGGGCAGGATGGCAGTCAGGCCTGCAGCTAATATACTGAAGTCAGGAGAGAAGTGCATCGAAAAGATCTTCTGTCTAGGCCAGACTCTCCTGCGGACGCAAGCATGCAGCGTCTCGTCTGCTCCTTCCTGATCGTTCGCTAATTCTAGAATCTAGGTAACGAGGAACTACCTACACACGCGGTCTTTTGCCGTAAAATTAGAGATGTCCTTAATACAAAGGAAGCACGTGTATATTAATTAAACAGTTGGGAGGGGGCTCTTGACAACGGGGGGGGGCAGAACCAACTACGATTAGAAACGCCTTAGCGCAGATCCTTAATCAAAGGTAAGAGGAAGGAGAGGGAGATGTGTAAAAAAAAGAAACTCTGATACATCAGGTCTTGATGCTCAGCTAGTCTATGGATGATTGAGCTGGAGCTTTTTCGGCCATCCCCCGTCGTGACTTTTCCAGTCATGGGTAGCTCTCGAGTGCGGACTGCATAGCAACAGTTGAGAGAGGTTGAGCTTCGCATTTTGTTGCAGTGGAAGCCTCATTCAAGCTAACAGGCTTAGAGAATAATCTTAGACACCAGAGAATCAGGAATCTGGAGTATTCGTAAATTCTTCACGTTGCAAGCGACATTGAGTGCGAAATGATCAGATTTCTAGCTACTCTCAAGTCAGCCGCTTACTCAAAGGCTTCCCAACCCCCTATCGCAAGCCCTCCTCCTCTGATTAGAGTGCTGACATCACCTATAGTCACCACCACAGACCCAAGAGTCTTTCGGAACAGCAAACCACAACAACTACGAAATCGCCCCGTATCGGACGCTTCAGCCAGCACAATTTGAAGAGTTCTTGGCGTTATACGTCACTTCCACTGAGACCTGGGTATTGTTTTGCTGTTCCGTGCGCGCAATCTCAAGTAGATAAAGAGACGGGGACGGTGTTGACAGGTACCTACTACGGGATGTCTTGAGAGGCTGAAATCGGTTGTGAGTGGAGTGACCCCAGGAGGTACAAATTAAGAGGGGGTGTCATAGTCGCTTGGCCCCTTGCACGCCACACGCATGTCCAAGAAACCAAGACCTGGGACAAGACGATATAAACACGACAATACATCCGGGGACAAAGAAATTAAAATCAACCTTTCTTTCGTATCTTCGCGCTACTTATACTCCGCTGTTGGGCCGCTAACCCCGCCCTGCGTCTCCATATAGCATGTCTTAGTATCGTATATTTGCGTATCCCCACCTTGGCGTCAACGACTTTGCGCGACCATATCGAACAGCCAAGGCATCCCAAGGATGCACTAAATTTCGAGAATCCATAGTGGTGTAGTCCTTGTTTTTCCACAAAGACCTTGAGTGGCAAGCTTCGGATCTCAGTGCCATCAAGCCGCTGAACCTTCGATCTGATGACCATGGTTTCACTTCAGATTTGGTCTTGGGTATTTTATTTGACGACACTTCAATATGGGTTGCAAAACACCTCCTCTCCTTGGCTTCTGGTCGTAATCACGGGGGGAAATTATTTAAACAGAGAAGTCCCTCTAGCCATCGTCCATTGCTCCGCCATAGTCTTATACCGAAAGCCTAGATCATCATGGTATCTACATTCGCTCTCAGGGCCATCACGGCCGTTCTTTCCACAACTTATGTAGCAGCCCAACTCGTTGGAACCCAGCAATCCGAAACACACCCGAAGATGCAGTGGAAGAGATGCACCGGCAAGGGCGGTAACAGCTGTACGAACGTTAACGGTGAAGTCGTCATCGATGCAAACTGGCGATGGCTCCATGTGAAGGATGGGTACACCAACTGCTATGACGGCAACGCATGGAACAAAACCGCCTGCCCCGATAACAAGAAGTGCGTTCAAAATTGTGCCATCGAAGGCGCAGACTATTCCTCCACATACGGCATCACGGCGTCAAGCAACTCGCTCACCCTGAAGTTTGTTACGAAAGGCCAGTATGCTACCAACATCGGCTCAAGGTTGTATCTCATGAAGGACACGAATAATTATGAGATGTTCAAGCTCATTGGAAATGAGTTCACCTTTGATGTTGACCTCTCTCAACTACCATGTGGTCTTAATGGAGCATTGTATTTCGTTTCGATGCCACAGAAGGGTCATGGCACTCCTGGAGCAAAGTATGGAACTGGTAGGCACTCTCTCTTTCTTGTCACTATCTCCGGTCATGCTTAGTCGTCCGTAAAGGCTACTGCGATGCTCAATGTGCAAGGGACTTGAAGTTCATAAATGGCGAGGTACGTGGTGCTCTTCACTCCTTATCAGTCCTACCAGCCCCGCAATCTAATATAGCTTTAGGCCAACGTTGAAGGCTGGCAGCCCTCCTCGAACGACCCCAATGCCGGAGTCGGGGGAAAAGGTGCTTGCTGCGCTGAAATGGACATTTGGGAAGCGAATTCCATTGCCACGGCCCTCACTCCACATTCCTGCCAGCCAGAAGGCTACTCCGTATGTACGGACACTGGATGCGGAGGCACGTATTCACTCGACCGCTACGCCGGTTCCTGCGACGCCAACGGCTGCGACTTCAACCCCTACCGCGTCGGCGTGAAAGATTTCTACGGCAAGGGCATGACTGTTGATACAAGTAAGGTCATGACAGTTGTCACGCAATTCATTGGCTCTGGCAGCGATCTCCAGGAAATCAAGCGCTTTTACGTACAAAATGGGAAAGTCATCACCAACCCCGAGCCGCAGATTCCGGGAATGACAGGGAATTCTATCACCCAGGCTTGGTGCGACAAGGAAAAGGAAATTTTCCAGGAAGATATCTATCCCTTCAATAAGCACGGCGGTATGGCATCCATGGGCAAGGGTATGGATTTGGGGATGGTGCTTGTTATGAGTCTCTGGGATGATCACTATGCTAATATGCTCTGGCTTGACAGCAATTACCCCACAGATGCGGATGTCAATAAGCCGGGAGTGGCGCGTGGTAGCTGCGATGTTACCTCTGGAGTTCCGGCGGATGTTGAGAGCGCTTCGGCGAATGCGCAGGTTAAGTTTTCGAATATTAAGTTCGGGCCGATTGGATCGACTTTTGCGCAGCCCTCTTAGGATTACTAGTGGAATTGAGCGAGTTTTTTGCCGAGGACGACGCTACGGCGGCTTGTGCTGGAAGGTAGTGGTACAATTTAGAGTAGATAAGTCAATGAGCTGAGTATATACAAGCAAATAGTGTCTTTGTTTGGGGGTAACCCTTATGTTCGCCCTCTTATTCAAGCGGGAGGTAATGCGTGAGGGAGTTAATCAGAAAGTATGCCTCATCGAACGCATGCTCATTCTGGCCCACATATGCAGCGCAAGTCTTAACACCGGTCGCTGCAGCACATTTCTTCTCCCAAGTCTTTTCCTTCTTATCATCCGCCATGTCACCACAGAAGGTGATGTTGAGTATCTGGATTCCGAGTTAGATTCAGTGTCCTTCGCTCTCGTATTCGCGACGACCTTTGGATAGCTTACAATTTTCATCTTCTGAAATGCTTTCTTCATGTCGCACGAGCTTCCCTTTGGTGTAACATCCAGAACCCCTTTCCCCCACTTCGTTGGATTAGGATTGCCGTCTCTCAAATCCTGCGGGATCTTCGCATTCTCGAAATACCAGATCTTCACATTTTTATTATCCAAAAGAAGTGCCCACACACCTCCACCCTTCTTATTAAACTCGTCTCCAAATGTGCCGTCAGGAGCATCGACCTCACACCCAGCAGCAACACCTTCGGGGTCAAGACAATTTCCATTATCTGGATTTTCGGTTGGGATTGTGCAATGTTGGTTCGTGTGCATAGTCATTTCGTTCGCAGTGTTGAGCGAGATGCCCTCGTAGATGTCGACTTCGCCATAATTGCTGCCTCTTGCTGCATCGTTGTCATGAAGAACCCAACTGTAATAAATAAAAATTGTCAGCTTTATTTCTACTTGCAGAATCGGAGCAGCTAATTCGGGTGTACACTTACAACGCGGGCCATACTCCGCAAGCACTCCCAGGCACATGTTCAAAATCTCCGACGAAAAGACCTGTGTCGAACGTCTGGATGCTCTCGACCCTCACACTCTTTCTGAAAACCTGCTTATTTGCTACCTCTTCATCTGAGAAGTGCTGAGTGCTGTCGGCACCGAGGTAGACCTTGTTGTTGTCGTACTTGGCTAGTTGTGGTCCTTTGGAAGTGGATGAGGCTTCAGGGTAGGATATGTATGAAACGTTGCCGTTCGTTGGGTCCGTATCCTGGGAGAAGTTAGCATTTGGGGATTTGTGAAGGGAATTGGAGAAACGTACAGTGAAGAAGTCAAAGGAGTCGAAGAAGTTGCTAGCATCATATTTCACATTGAGCTTATATGATGGGGCTGAAGCGCAAGTGCTGGCGACAACGAATGTAGGAACGACGAGCAAGTGAAGCAACATAATGAATAGTAATACCAGAGCTAGAGACCGATATGCAAGAGAAAGAATGTGAGATATAGACCGTTTCATCGTTCTCTAACCTCCCTCTTATCCCTTTCACGACCCTCATTAGCACCGCCGTTCCATCCTCTGCACGGATACGCCCGTGAAGAAGTGTCATTCTCCGTTATCATTTCCTGGCATTGCCACCGCCCCGTCCTCCGTGCGGTTACACCTATGAATAATTTTCGATATCAAAGGCCCTTCATACGATATATCTCGTTACTAAATCTCTTGACCCTTCTCTGTAACATGTCATGAGGTTCAGCTTATGCCGATACGATCTATACAGGTCGCTATATAGATGCGCACTGACCACAGCTTGTTCTGTGGGGCGCAGTGCAGGATTGAGAGGCGAAACCAACATCGGATGAAACGTGAACATGATGACGCATGAAAAGAGTAAGATAGGATTGAACGAGAATTTACGTAAATCTGGGAAGAATGAGTTCGTATATACTAATTTCCGCCCTCATGGCTGCCTCGTGGCTACCTCGCGATACGGGACTTGGCACCTAAATCTGAGAATTGAAGCGGAGCAATGTCCTTCTCATAAAGACAAAGAACCTGTTAAAACTACAGGAAACAATTGACAGGATTAGAAAGGGCGATCCATTGCCTGAAGAGAGCGACAGAGTTACTTTGACGGGGACGCAACGTCGAGGTACTCTCTGCCACCCACCCAAATCATTTTCATGTCCCAAGGATCGTGATGTTAGCCAGAGGATTACTTCCTAAAAGGATCAAATCGGCGCGTTATCCGGGCGCAATGACGCCACGATCCGTTAAACGATGATACTTCGCAGCCACGCTTATTGCCGCATTGATAGCTTCCGCAGGGGTGGGCCCAGCGTCGACGAGATGCTGACGTTCGCGTTGAGTGTGCCGATCATGTTTGCCAGAGAGGATCGGTATTCCGGCCCGATGGAGCGATGCTACGTTTGCGCGAACGTTGCTGGAAGAAGAGTTCCCTGTGCTTCCATTGCCGCCTCGGAGGAATACGGGATCTGAGAGTGCGGTTTTGAAGATGGCCATTTTTGGTGCTACGTATTGCCCGTAGTCCTTGAGGCCTTTATTGCTGAACAAGAGAGATTTGTATCGTCGGAAATATGCTGGATATCATTCGTTCGAGATTCGGTGGCCTAGGGGAATGCTGTAATATCAGCTCCATGGGTTGTTGTTTGCTTCCTAAGATCGTGCGCAGAGTTAAACAGCCCGTTCTGCATGTCTCGAGATAGCCCATTCGTCTCCGCAGTAATCTTGAGATATCCGGAGCCATTCCTGAAGGCCCAGTTGACTAAAGCAACTGGGTCGGAATCAGGGACAACGAGCTGATCAGTGGAGAGATTGAATGAATTTGCGTGCGCGCTGTTGGGACCGACCGCGGGGATGCCGGTACTTCGAAAATTAGCGAGGCCCTCTTGACCTTGGAGAGGCTGGTACTGGATGTTGTTGCGGCAGGCCATGTTCAATGTCGTGACACTGTAAGATGTGATATTTTCCAAGCCTAGGATATTGGGAACATGCACGTGGTTATCGATAAGGCTGGGTATGAGGAAACGGCCGGCTGCGTCGACAATCTCCAGTTCGTCTTCCTCATAATCTGAAATGTGTTCGCCGTCGATTGTGACGGACTTAGGACTACTCATGGCTAGTCTATTGAAAAAGCGCACATTCTTTAAGGTAATCTTGTGAAGAGATGAGGGCGAACAGGTTCTAATGCATGTGCCAATCAGAGAAGCCTGAGGGTCGTGGAGGTCAAGATCGTCACCAAGATGGAGGAAACAAGTGTTGGATAAACTTAAGAAACTGCTTAGAATGGAGATGAGGTAGCGTAGGTTGCACTAGTGATGTCGGCAACTAAATTGATATGTTAATGGAAAAGATGGCGAAATGGACAAGATTTGGCAGGTTGTAGAAATGAAGATAATATCTGAGTATAAGAGAACAATATAGTAAGTGTTTGAAGGACCGGGAATGGGGAGATTTACAAGGAGATGAACTTTGTATACCAACTAGCTCAGCCGTGTCTGACGAATATTGCTTCGCCATACCTGACGCGTCGAGCCCATCCCCGGAGTAAAGAAGCACATAGCATCAAGTCTGGTATGTATGTAATTGCTGAAGGATTTCGTAGAGTCCGCCAGAAACAAGTCAGAGCTGAATGAAAAATGGGGCTGAGTTCGCCTGCTTACCCAGATACGGAGCATTGAGCGAGTCGTACGGAGACGGAAGATTATTAAGTTCCGTTGGGCTCTGTCGGGGTTTTGTCGGAAGACGATCAGCTCCAAGGAAGCTCGTACACCAGCCCCTAAAGAGTATGATAAGGGCTTGGCCAAATTTAATCTCGCTTGGCGCACCCGGGGAAGTTAGTGAAGAGTCTTGGTAGGGCTGAGACACTCTTTCGGCTGGCATCACTACGTTTCTCCAGCTCCATATATCAGAGGCCTGAAGCCCGGAAATTACATGTAAGCTCGAGTGCCAACACTGTCATTAAGCACCATCAGCAGTATCCGGCTCTTCGAGGTTCTCTGGACATACACGAGCATATTTATTGAAGCATGCCGCGACGTGGAGGCATTCGAAGCTATCACCACAAGTCTAGAAATGGATGCACTAATTGTAAACGAAGGAGGGTAAAGGTACATGCGACGATCCGCCAGGGGAATAAACGCCTAAGGCGGAAGCACCTGAAGCCGCTAACGGTTACAACAGTGTAGCATGCAAGCACCCGTCTGTGCCAACTGTCATCGACGTAATGAGAAATGCGAATATGCCTCTTTCGGCGACAGTTCGAAGAATGCCTGGTCGAGTTCAAGCATCAACCATACAGACGTGAACTCGCTTCCGGTTAGGACCTTCGAAAATGCCTACGTTCCTTTTAACTGGTTCCCTCCAGCGGCATCTGAGTACCCTTTCCTCGAGTCTGAGAAACCCGCATTGTCAAGTGGATCGGGAGTGTTTTTGCTGAGGGCTTGCTTAGAGAATATGCTGTGCGCCTCATGGTTCACTCCAGGCGAGATATCCCTCTGGAATGCGATAATTTCAGAGCAAGCCGAGCAATTCGGATATGTGCAACATTGCGTCTTCGCCCTGTCGTCTCTGAATCTCCAGATCTTCCGCCCCTCCACAAGTAATCAGGCTGCGATATCGGCTTTTCGGCATCGTATCACCGCGTCGAGCCTCTTCCGACAATCCAGTCCGGTTGTGGACGAGCGTAACTGGACGGCCGTCCTTACTTTTACAATATCAATGATAATCTTCCAGTTCGCAGCTCAGCTAGTGTGCACTGACATCGAATTGGACTATCTGGAGACTCTTCGAATGCTTCGTAGCTCCTTGGTCATCCACGAGTTTATCCAACCGCACCTCTTGAAAAGCAAATTCTTGCCATTTCTCCTTAAGCGATACCAGAAAACATCACCGGCAGTAGAAGAGGAGGTATTAATGCATCTCCGGCATCTAGGGAGGATAGTTTGGGGCTCCAATACCCCTAGTGACACGGCCCGACTCAATCAACAAGCTTTCAGTGCTCTGGAGGCATGGGCGGTGGCATGCAACGGAAGCCCCCAAACTTGGCCGCATTATCTGATATGGCCTGCCACGATACCACAAGAGTATATGGATTGACTAGGTGCCGGGGAGGAAATTTCCCTCCTTATCTTCATATACTGGTGCACGATCATGCATATCTGTCAGCGGAAATGGTTCATCGAAGGGTGGTCGAGGCGCGCCTCGTTAACGGCGATTTTGAAGATAAAGAGTGAGTGGTCTGATATGTTGGCGTGGCCTTTGAGCATGTTGGCCAGGCCTCTTTCTTCTCTACTTCCGGCTCCTTCGTCCCCACTTCCGATACAGAGCCTCCCAGACGAGAAAAGTGCTGAATCCAGGCGCCTGCTAGAGTAGGTCGATATCTTAAGCGTCGAAGATAAATCCAGATTCATGGCTGTGCTGCGCAAGGTGTTTGCGTCTGAATGTAGGGTGCGTCATTTGTCAGCTTAAACTATGACGGATGAACAAGGGTCGTAATCGGCTTGTCGGCACTGCAGAATGCAACGACTTTACATGCATAATACATGGTGTTGTATTATTCGTTCGCTTCAACATGACCGGTAGACAAGGGTCACGACTGCCTTATGGCTGTGCAGAACCTTCGCATGTTGTCTTTCTCGCCATCAGCTTCTTATCTCTCCTCTGCCAATTCTCCTTGAATCAAAGGCTTCATTTCTGTGTTTTCCAGACGAAGATTTGACTAACTAGTGAAGATGGGAGGTCCTCTGATCTCGTTCCAGGAATCCCTTGATCGCCTTCGAGGATTTGCCGATCATACGTTCTGTGCTAGGTGCCAGGCAACCTTCAGTCATGTTGAAGAGTATAATACCCCGTACCGAACCAAACGCCACACAGTAGCACACCCCAGGATACCTCTGAATTGCATCAGTCGGTTACGGTCACGTGAACACGACCCATGCCGACTCTGCTCGCTCATCCTCCAAAGGATCGGTGAAGTCTCGCTATGTAAATGCATGAGCAACGAAGACTCGTGCATATTTATCCAGAGGAGGCACACCAAAGAGCATGATATGGAGTGGCAATTGTTATTCGAAGAAGAGCTCAAAGGTTATATCGTCCGCAACAGTAGGAAGAAGTTGAAGGAGAACAATATCGAGCCGGTATGTGCCATACCCGGAGTGTTTCGCTGCAATAGCTAAACTAGCCGCAGCGTATGATCTGGGATGACACTGTGGCCCCCCCATCCATTGTCCAGATGTGGATTGGGCAATGCACGAAGGTCCATCAGGACTGTCGGCCCGCAGCATTAGATCGCATTCGATACGATAAAGGTGAAAACCTCAAAGCCCTCATGCCGAATATTTTGTTCATCGACGTCGTGGATGACAGAATCGTGGAAGGAAATCTTCACGTAAAATACGCAGCACTGAGCTACGTCTGGGGTGGAGTGACCCAAGAGTTGGCGTTGCGCGATAATATCCAGAGCCTGAAAAAGAAACGTGCTCTTCGCTCTCCGTTTCTGAAAATACCCCAGCTGGTAAGAGATGCCATGGCATTCGCGTATTCCATTAATATTCGTTACCTCTGGGTCGATGCACTCTGCATTATTCAGGATGACTCGTCGAAACATGACACTCTAACCCGTATGGACATGATATATAACCTTGCACACCTCACCATTGTAGCTATCGACTCTACATCAGCAAATAGCCAACTTCCAGGTGTTGAGCGTCAATCGCGGTACCATCCGCATCCTGAACTGAAAACGAAGGCGGATTGGTTTCACACTCGACCATCGACTAACGTCGATTCGCATATAAAGTCAACAGTGTATAGTTCCCGAGCCTGGACCTTCCAGGAGGAACTATTATCAACCCGATGCCTATACATGACGAAAACGCAAATGTTCTTTCGGTGCCGGACGGCGGTATGGGCAGAAACGGCCCCTGTGAAGAATCTTGGCCAGCAAGCGGATCCCTGTCGTAGGATGTGGGGTAATCTTCATGGCGCAGATCGAGTCCAAGCCTATAGAGAGGTCTTATGCAACTACACCGAAAGGAAATTGAGCTGCAGCACTGATGTACTGGATGCGTTCGCCGGCGTGACGGCGTCTTTATCGAATGATACGGACTGGCAGTTTGTTGACGGTATGCTGCTTCAACACTTGCCTTCGGAGTTGCTCTTCATTCATGAGGGAGAGCATGCGCGACGTCTTGGTCCAGACGGCAGACCTTGTTTTCCATCCTGGGCGTGGGCAGGATGGACAGGACGAGTGACGTGGGCTCGATCGGATACGGATAGTTCTAGTGGCGACGAAGATGGTGTATTAGAAATTCTCTCCAAAGACCATGGACCTCCAATGATGAACGATATCGCTATTTCACTCACGGATGCTGCACTGGCGAGAGTACAAGCACAAACGTTCCGGCGACGTCGAGATAGTATTTCGATCACCCCCAATGCCCCGAAGGTACAACTCCAATTGCAGCCGGATCCAAGTCAGCAAAGGACACTGCTTTGCTTCCAAAGCCACCTCATTTCCGCGAACGATCTGGAGTTCAGTGTGCGGGAGAAATGCCACGTGTTATCCAATAGCAGGCCGACCGGAATAACTTACGACTTGCATTCCGGGGGTCGATGGGTGGGTATTCTTTTTAGTCATGGGGAAGAGTGGATACAATCCGTTCGTCACCAGGGGAAAACAATCTGGTTTGTCCAGATAACCGAACGCGGAGCTCTAATGATCCAAACGAGATCTGGAGACGGTTACAGTGAGCGGGTCGGCGTAGCTTTTTTCGGAGAAAATATCTTCGGGTATAGTCTGACGCAAACCGTGGTCTTGATATGAAGATCTCGATTGACGGTGCTTGCCCAAGAGCCTTAAGGATTTATCTTGACGAAATTAGGTGCCTAATGTTAGTGTTAGTGGGATGGAGTGTCTGCCTTAGAAAATGTGAGGGTAGCTTAGGAAGGCCACTGCGGCTGAATACGAGGACAGCTAGACACCCCACCTTGCACCTCGATCAGCAGGACTTCAGCCTTCTCAAAATCCCTCTCAAGGGTCTGCCTGCAGCACCCTCATACCTAGGAAGCCTTCGCCTAAACCACGTGGACTGTTCATATCTTCCCATCGCCTCGTTGCACGTATCCGTATTATAGTCCGGCTTGCACCACTCTGAAGTATGTGGTGGAAAGGTAGAATCGTCAAACATATATCCCCTGTGAGTAAAACCGATCCAGAAATTCTCCAAACGAATTCGAGAACCACCCCCGGTTTCTCTGAAATTGGTACCGACATCCTGACCGAACAACCCTTCACTCAATCGGCAGTCTTCCTCTGTACTGGGTAAGTGACTATCGCTATTGTCACAAGCAACACCACCTGGACAAGCGGAGGCACAAGTGAACTCCTAACTACTTCATCACAAGTCTTTCCCGGACATTGGATTTGAATCACCTTCGCAAGCAACACCACCTTATCCCGGCTATTATTCGAGGCTCGTAGATCATGTTGAAGACTGTCATCCGCGATACTCCTCTACAAGCGATATTATTATCTCAAACAAGGCTGCAGCTGTGCAAACAGTGAATGAGAATCTATCGAATCACCTCCGTGAAACTTTAGAAAATTTGGATTTTTAGGTTCAAGACCACATGAAGCTGTAAAGCTAAGTGGAAAAGGCACTCGATGACGGAGAAAGACTTCGGCAGGAAAATGAGACTAAAAATAAGGCTCTCTTTCGACGGTTGCAAGAACAAAAATTATTTAGTAAACAAATTTGAGTGAGAAAATGATGCTACGGGCACTGAATAAGAACGATATTATGTGAGAGTTACAAGGGCGAGGCAAGATAGAGAGAATGTGCCAGCAAGAAACTAGGGACTCTAGTACTGAGGAGGACGGTCTCACTCGAGATTTACAAGAGCGGGTCAGTATTGGTAGTAAGCTGCAGCAGGAAATTAGGGCCTGACGTACCGAAATGCAACGTCTTATGAGAAAATTAACTGCGAAGGAGGATCTGAACAATAACCCGAGTTCGGCACTAGCGATTCACTTTTTCAAAGAAGCTTTGTTTCTCGCGCAGATGATAGCGAAGTTTTACATCGATGGCAAGATCTGCATGACGCCTGTTGTCTATTGCATTCTTTTCAGAAAAAGCGAAGCGACCCAAGAAGATTGTTCGCTCCAAAGGTATATCAGCGGGGGCCTTGGGTAGCCTTCCATTCAGAGAACTAATGACGCCTACACAGAACTACGCGAAATACCTTAGTGTTCCAGGCGAACGACCATGAGTCATACAAGCTTTCATCTAGCACACCTTGAACTATGAGGGTTTCGACCACATTGGCAGGAACTCTGAAGGTCTTTACTCGGCAGGTGGATTGAGACATTCCTACGCTAGATTGATGGTAGATGGTAGGTCTTCGGCCACTGAGACGGTATAAGCTCTTGTTAAGTGAGACGGAGAAAGCAAACGAAGTCGAAGAACCCGCAACTAGCTATCAAAAATGGCGAGCAGTAACCTCAACTATAATAGCGTTAGCTACGCCTCCTTCCAAACGAATTCTGAATCGGGACATAACGTACATTGTGGAAATATGATAGAGTTGATCTCCCCTTTCAACACTCGGACCGACTCCAGAATCGAAACAGAGCCTAAGGCGCCCAAGTCAACACCCAGAAATCCCGTCAACCCAGCGGCCTTGTTCGACTGTATTCTTTGGAAGCAATTGCCGTTCTTTTTCGTGGAGCAATGGTCACATGAGAAAATCTAAGGAAACCCGCCATTGAAATTTACATAGAATGAAGACGAGATGGAACGTGAGGGCTAAAACATTGAACTCACTAACCCTGCCGTCGATCGAAAAGTTCAGCTAGCATTGTTCAAGGAAGGAGGCATTCACGGAGACAACTACACGCTCAGAATGGATGTGTGCAAAGCGAACGTGATATGTCGAGAAGACCCTGCCCCAGTCATGAAGGGACATTGGATATGAGTTTTGGCTTGATATGGGAATGGATGTGTGAAAGTGGCGCTGACCAGGTCTTCTAGAACCAATTCGGTGACTTCGGAATGTCGTCACATCGATAGACGACTTCTAGGCTCTGGGGATTCGGTTCTGTCAGACTGGTAGAGCTAGAGTTAGAGTTGTCCGCCTCTGAGGTAACCCTGGGTTTGGGAACAACTAGTAGGGGTTAGTGCCGAAATCTAACAAGTTCGGTAACACTTCCCGGATCAAGATCCTCTTATCCGTGGATTCTGTGCACAGCACAATACTGTATGTCAAACAGATCTCGAATACTTCCCGAGAGCAGGGAGAAAACCGCCCAAAAATCACGCCACTTCCATAGGGCTTACCATTCCAGGGTATTCCATCCGCATTTTACCCAAAATTGGAGTCACGTGAACGTTTTGCCCTCCACAATCCTGTGATCTTTATAAGCGTCAAAATTCTGCGCGGAGCGATCCCATTGGCCATGGCGCTGAATTCGAGGGCGTGGCATTTTACTCAGCGTATTCGTGTTGGCTTCTTCCACTGTCCACAAGTCGGCGGCCCAAAGTCCAGGCCCGTTTATGATTCTAGAACTCAACGTGCTCCTCACCAATTATGTTCAAAATTTTCTCATGATCTACGTACATCGAATCCACCTTCGCTGCATGAAAATCAGCAAGCTGATCTGAAGGAAGGGACTCTGCATCGCAATTGAAACACGATGTGGCTGATTTTTTAACTCTCTTGACAATCGCGACTCGTATTTTCAGCCCCTTCACTGCGCGATCGCTCACTCTAACAAGTCATTGGCCGGACGGAGTGGCCCCCTGCAGATTAGCAACATGTGGGACGTGCTCAAACCCATTTTGGGCACGTTCATTCGCGCGGGCCAGGAGTTGCACATCCCAAGCGAGGATCTTCCATGCAGATCCGGGTTGTGAAAGTATAATGAGCGGAGCAGAGGGGATATTTGGTTGATAGGCTTGGCGAGTCGTATGATGCCCTGGAACGCCGTGTGAAAGAGAGAGGGATAGAGCCAGAAGGGCCAGCAAATTTTTGATAGACGGAGGGCTTATTGGTGTGGCACATCCGAGAATTAACTTCAAAGAGATAACGACTTCGATACGTACTTATACTGACCTTCGTCAGAACCCTGGACTGACAATACACCAGCCGATATCTTCACTGACACTCATTCCAACCCTTATCTTTCTTGCCTAGTATGTCCGATACGCGTGGTCCAAAGATTATTATCTCATTATGGATCCTCACAATACTGGCCTTCGTCCTCATGGTCCTTCGCTTCGTTTGCAAATACTGGTACAGTAAAGGCTTCGGCGGCTTAGACGATATTATTCTCTTCATATCTTGGGTACATCATCTCCGTCTCTTCTCAGCCCTCCTGTTGACAGGTTCCAGGTATTTGTCCTTCTCTTCTGTGTGTTTACTGGGACTGTAGCTGTGAGTTACGGACTCGGTAAGCACATCCAGGACATCGACCCTCGCAATCTACACACGCTTTTCAAGCACTTGTTCCTCGGAGAGTTCTTCATCAGTTTCGCAGTCGCAGCTACTAAAACGTCCTTCTCGCTGACACTGCTGCGTATTACGGTCCGCGAGTGGCACAAATGGTTCATCTGGTTCCTAATGGTCTCTACCAACTTGGTGATGTTCACCTGCGCTTTCTTGTTTTTCTTTCAGTGCACGCCTGTAGAGAAGCTCTGGGATTGGAGGGTTGAGGGAAAGTGTTTAGCTCCGACGGTGGTCGGTTACTACAGCGTCTTTGCTGCAGGTAGATCCCCCATTCCAAGCCTCCAACGAGTAGTGCCGTAAGAGTTACATCAAATGATGCTAACTGTATGCGTAGCATATTCTGTTTGCACCGACTTCCTCCTTGCCATGTGTCCTTGGTTGATTATCCGGCAATTACAAATGAATCGGAAAGAGAAAGCAGGCGTCATCGCAGCAATGTCGCTAGGAATGCTGGCAGGCATCGCAGCAATTGTGAAGATGACGTTCCTCCCGAATTCTATATACTGGAAAGACCTGCTCTGTGCGTTTGCCTCCATCTCCCACATCCAACTAGTTCTGAACTAATTGATCTTGGCAGACGAATCGGCGAACCTGCTCATATGGGCTACCGTAGAATGCTCGTTATGTATTATTGCGGCCTCTATTCCCTTCCTCCGTGTGCTAGTCCGCGATGCGTCGTCAAGCAGAGCGTCACGTCCGTATGGACAGAGCTATCAGTTGTCTGGAGGTCTAGGAAGTAGGAATATGACATCGAGGACTCAGAGACGGTCTCAGAAGCAGAGAGGAAATGATGGTTTGAGCGAGAAGAGCATACTGAATGAGTCGGGGACTATGCTGGCGGTAGAGATGGGCGGGATCATGAAGGCGCAGGAGATCCGGGTGGAGTGGGAAGGGCTTGACGGGGAATCGTTAAGTCGGAGGCAGAGTCAAAATACGGAATCAGCTAGGGCGAGATCGTGAGTGCTATATTACTGATAGATGTGAGAGAATATGATATTGAAGTTATTTCATCCAAGGGATCGACAGATATTGCATCGCCATTGGATTATTGATAGGGTCATGCCTGCCAAGACCTATGTGAATATTTAAGGGACCCTGCCCACTGAATTCCAGCAATGACGAACGGGGCACCGCGAATTGTTCAACACGACAAGCTCCCTTACATTTTATTTATGAGAAGACAGATTTTACCTTCGAAACTGAGAAGTTGACTTTGGTTGGTCCAACAAAGCTACTTTCAGCCTCAATGGCCAGGCCGCACCAACGCCGTCATCGCACTAGCGTGATAGGCAGAAGGATGGGCTCACGGCGAAACGAGCCGCTCCCTGCCAAATCACCACCAAGCATTGGCAACATAGGGCTCAACAATGGACGTCCATGTCTTCAGGGCCCTTGCCACTTCAATCCAAATTCCCCCAAAATAAAATAGCGTTCCCAACACTTCCTCCACAATAGCCACCGAAACCATCACTGCGCTCACTACATTCATACCCTCCCAGCCCAACCTCCCCTCATATATCCCCATCCGCGCCATCCTCCGCACTGGCCTCACCAACTCCTCTACTGCCCTCTGCGCTCCCAATCGGCTGTCCAAAGACACAACTACCTCTCCACCCCACCCCCTCCCTCCATAAAATCACTCAATAAAACATGCCATGCACAGTGCAACAGTGAATGATGTGTGGCATCCACTTGTACGATGTTCTCCCCTATAACACTATAAAACAAGCCGTAGAGAAGCGGGTATCTAGTTCTGCTGAGGTGATGGCAGTCTCCACCTAGCGCACAGCATTTGGCAGCTTTGTGAGAAGTTAGGATGGGAGATAGAGGACACAGCGGTGAGTGTGGTGAGTTATCTACTGGCGCTAGCGAATGCGGCGAGGCGGAGGTGACGGTGCCGTGGCTGGGGAGGTGGTACACGGCCGTTCTGAGGGATGCAGGGGGAAAAGGGGGAGAGGGATGTGTTTTGCGGGGTGCTAGAAGATGAGGAGGGGGGAGGGGAGCGGTGGCGGTGGCGGCGAGGAAGAGCTCAAGACTGGGCTTTGCGCCGTGGCTCTCTAATGGCCATCTGCCCCCACAGACTGAACGCGCTCTAGCCCCGCCATCCACACCCTCCGCCTAGACTCCTTCCTCACATCCTCGTGAATTAAATCCACGCAAGAGCCTCACAAGGTGCATGGGATGTCACAGAGCCCGGGATATCTCCCTGCTGGCAAAATATCAATTATCATAGTGGGTGACAGGCCGGTGTGATATTTTAGGAGCAGATGCACTAGCCATTAGGGATCGGCATGTAGAAGAGGGGATGAAGGGGGGACTATTGTGGGAGGGGATGGGGTGGGAGATGCAGATGCATATTTTTATGTTCGCGTGGCCGTATGGCGTGGAAGAGGGAAGAGAGGAGGTCTCGTGGTCGGTTGAGGATTAAAAAGGGAGCAGGGAGGGGGCTGAAAGCGTGGGTGCCGGAGGTGAATACTAAGCCTTATAATATTTATGGTAGCTCGCAGGGACGTGGAGATTATACTGGATTCTTTTCTTGAGTGGCCTAGCTTTACGCCCACACGAAAGCGATCCCCAAGGGCTGGACGTACATCTAAAGTAAGTTGCTTGCCTTACGAGATCCCTTCGGAAAACTCGCAACAACTGTTGAATTCTCAAGTTGCAGGGCTGTTATAGCAATTCGCCATCTCGGACAATCCTATCTGGTACATTATAGAGGCCACAGTGGCAAATCGTAGACAAGGCCATCATGTACTTGGGCAGCTCAAGTCATTGTCTTAGTAGACATTGAAAGACTTATTTCCACCTAACGATGAAATCAAAGTAATGGACCCACTACCCAAATTCGACTGGCCAACGATACAACCACAATTCCTTTTAGCCGGTTGCGATGTAGTCATCCTATTGGCTGCTTCTTTGCCGGGTAAGCTGTTCGATTGCTTAGCTAGTATTGTGTCGAATTTCTTGCTATAATAGATAAGGCCCAATTCACTCTAGCAAGGTCAGCAAGTGAGGTCTCCTTTGCCAAAGTGCTGACGAAACTGATTGCTAAAAGAGTTTACCTAAGCGTCCATATATGCAAGGAGTAAGCTAGACAGCAGGGTAGAGAGCACGTGACTGTAGCAGGTGGTGGAGATCGGAGAGCTCTGCTAATGCAAACACAAGGCCCATATCAAGCCAGGCTGTGACTGGACAAACGAGCTCCGCAGCTTAGCAAAACTTCTCCAACGTACCAGGATCAAAATTGGATTAGACGGCCCATCCGGTACACCAGAACACAGATTTTACGACTTCGAATAGAGCATGGTCCTGGGCGCCGGCATTGACGTGACTCTTTTCTCTGGCATCCTGACTGACCTTCAGGTGCATCGGCTCGAGCAAACGCAACCCCAGGAAGAAAAAATGTGCGTAACGGAAACTTGGAATCCATCTCACCGTACTAGGACAACCGACGTATTGAATTTCACTGCATAGAGCAGGAGAAGAACAACTTGTAATGGTTCTCCGACCTACTTAACGAAGTTTCCCAAGCCGAAGGTGACCCCAAGTGAATCTTGAAATCCGAATCCAGACATATGTAACCCAGAAACGTAAAGGAATATCAATACACGTCTTCTGCTGGCTTCTCGAGAAGCATCGCACGGATAAACATTCTCAGTCTTCGTCGACTGACCTTTTCAATCCAACGAATTTCGGTAGCCCTGGTCTCGATATATCCAAGACGATCATTGTCAGAATATGTTTAAAATACTCTCTAAACGATTCGATGGGGAGAAGGGTGGATTAAGAGAGAAAGATGGTGACGTCAAAGGAGAGGTTTTCTTTGTGGGCTACCAGTGATTATTATGCAGTTAGAAGATCGGTGTCGAGCTTTAGCGGAGAGGGAAGAAAAGCTAGGTATCATTTCATGATCGTCTTTGGATGAAAAAGGTAACAACTCATCGCGTTGAATAGAGTTGGCAACAATCAAGTCGACTTGATAACTTGACTTGATTGACTTGATTGATAGCCGTCAATCAAGTTAATTAGCCAGGCGAAATTTACTAAGTTAATTAAGCAAATCGTGCCTGCTTGATTGACTTGATTGACAGACTTGAATCCCTAGGATCTTAGGTTTACTGGGGGATACAGGATCCTTTAGTGTGCGAGAGTAGTGAATATAGTATGAGGCAGCTCGGCTTTAAGGGACTTTAGAGTCGTGATAGTTGCCTAACTAGGCTTAGCGCCATATATCTGAAATTCCTCAACTTCTACCGCCCACCAACTTACCTGCCTCTACCACGTATACAAAGGCTGGCTAGACGACTGCCACCTTGGCTTTCAACGCTTGTGGGCAGAGTTTAAAGACGCCGCCTCTCCCGTCAGTACTCCAGAGCCTCCGCCGAAGAAGGCACGTACAGGGCCAGCTGGGAGCCGGTCAGATTTTATGAGAGCTGCCCTACAAGGTGACGACGCCCGCCCAATTGCGCGCAAACAGGGACTCCTCTGGTACAGGTGACTTGATTATCCAGCGCTCAAACTCATTACGGCGATAGGTTTGGAAGCGCCTTGGCTTAAAGCCTACAAAGTTAGCAAAAAGTCCACGTAGTGACGCCATCTCTCCCGAAGACCTGGAGACCATCTACAAGATATACGGCGGTTGATTCACTACGTAATCTATCAATCAAGTCAATTAAGTTAATTAAGTTAAGCCTCATTTGTGCCATCAAGTCAATCAAGTCAATCAAAACGTGCCAGATCCGTCAATCAATCAAGCAATTCACCCCGACTTGATTGACTTGATTGTTGCCAACTCTGGCGTTGAATACATTTCTTATAGTAGTATAAGATAGCACAGAATCTGAATAAATGTATTAAAGGTTCTACTTTGGTCAGGTTCTCTCCCCTATCTGCTCTGGCATCTTTGGTACTTTATATTCCTTCTCAAACCTTCCCCACATGCTCGTTCTCTCCTCAACTGCGACCCATCTCTCCCACCTTCCCACCATGCCCAACTCCACCATTTCCCCCTTCTTAACTTCCAACTTCACACTCTCCACAGGTTTCCAATTTGAGCTTTTATTCCACATTGTTCCCTCCCTTAACTTAATATGCCACTTGTCCCTGACCATAATTGTCCCCTCCCTACTCATACGGAGTCGAACCGCATTACCCATCCATTTATGCTTGCCCCTAGTCTCAACCACATCAACAATTATCCCACCCTCTTCGCTATCACTGACAAAATCCTTCGGCGTGGCGTAGCGTGTGTAGACTGCGCAGTTCATAGGTTGCGTGCGCATCTTCGTAGAGATATCGTTTCCGGCAAACGCCATGGGTGCATAGACATCGTTTCGCACTATTTTTGAACGCTGCTTGCTGAGACTTTGGATAGCGTTGCCTAGTTTCGCTAAGTCGGCGTCTGTTGAGAGTGGGAAGATCGGGAGGTCACGGATATGGCTGAATGGATCATCGGGTGGGATGGGTGCTTCTCCTGGATGTGACGGAATCGGAGTGTTACCAACAGGGAGAGCGTGTTGGTTGTGAGGTGGGAGCGCAAATCCTGGCGGCTGATTCAGAGCTGGAGGTTGAGGCGGCGCACCCGGGTGAGGTGGGAGTGCATATGTTGGTGGTGAGAATGCATTTTGAGGTTGAGGTGGTGCGCCGGGATGAGGAGGGATCACATATCCCTGGGGCTGTTGCGGATATTGAGGTTGAGGTGGTGCGCCGGGGTGGGGAGGAATGAAGACGGCACCGGGTGCGCTTGGAGATGCGTACATCTCTCCCTAAGTTCAACCTCGGTGAGGATGTTCAGGTGGTTATTGGCCCTTATACGACCCTGCACAAGTCTTATTAAAATCTTGGACTATCAATGGTGAGAAGGTCACCTTGCGAAAGACAGGAAGAACCGAGGGACTAATAAGACAATGGCTCGCCGAACCCCTCGTCTTCACGTCGTCTCGAATCTACTAGCGCTGAAGCTGAGAAGTTGCTTGCGAACGATGAACTCCGAGCTGATGCACTTCCTCGAGGGAGGATGCTAGGTTGAGTCTCACTGTTTAATTACCTTTTGCCCAATCGACGAATAACCACCATAATCCATAGTCTAAGAAACTTCACTCCAAGGGACACTATTCTACCGTCTTATTATCCAGGACGAGATTTGTCTTTGCTTCTCTTTCGCTAAATATGCTTAGCATATTCCCATTCCCAAAAATCAGACCAGCCACCCGCCTCTTTTCGCTTCTCCGCAGATCCTATTGGAAGTCCGGAAAGAGCCGTGTGGTTGATGAGATCTCGTGTCACATATGGTGGCTTCGGTAGCGAGCGTGAATGCGGCCGTGGGCTGTGTTTGGTGGTGCCAAGGCCAGGGCTGAATGGGGCTGAGGTACATGGTTGACAGCTGACAGGGTTAAGTGTGTGCTTGGCTCCCCTTTAAGCTTTTGGATATCATTGCGTTCTAGATTTATTCGGAACTGGAGACATGCTTCTTCCCTTTTTTAATATGCTCCTGATGGAGTTCCGAGCCCAAATACTCTCCGATTTTGCTGTTGGTGAAATTGTGTACTTACCTAGCGTCTGGGGTCCGGGAGAGACTTGAACCACCACGATGACCCTCCAGCAATTCTTCCTTCCGGTATTGCTCCTGGCCTCCACAGGATCTGCGTTGCTCAAAGATCGATTCCCCGACATTAGCGGAACCAAGTCTTTCAACACCTCTAAATTCTGGGACGTTGTCGCTAACCACTGCCCCAACGAAATTACCGCCCTCTCTGCCTGTCCACCTGCGAATGAGAGTCCTAAACTACGAACCCCATTTGCGACGAGTTACTCGCAATGTTTTAAGAGCGTGTAAGGCTTCCCCGCGCTTTAGTATTCTTTTCTGTTCATGCAGTCCTAATATCATTTAGGTTTGACGCATACTTCTCATGCAGTGGGCTTGGAGACTATGAAAAGCAGGTCCCAATACCGACTGGGTTCATTCCCGTCGCGAATTTCTCTTCGCAATCGGGATGCAATTATCCGGCGCCATTGCCGGTATTGAGGGACGCGTGCACTTTTGATGCAGAAGAGATTCCTCGTAGTGGATGTTGCTCTCAGAGTTCCTCTTCATGCGGACAACAAAACACAAATCTCCTAATATGTCAGATGCAGGCGTGAGTATCTATCTCACTCCCTCTCATATCGAGCAGGCAACTAACATCGTCCAGCGCTGAGCAATACGTCCGATGCACCAATGCCCAATCCAGCACACCGGGATCAAACAGCACCCTTTGTGTCATCGAAAACGCTGAAAAGGCGACTTGGCTCCCGAAACAATTTCTAGTATTTAGCGGCTCCTCAACCTGTCCCACTGCCCACAAAGTCCTCACCTACCTCGCGATTTCAAACCTCATCGCCTTTGTATCTGCGCTCCTCAGCAACACGCAGGTCTGGAAGACGCTCTTCAGGCGGTCGAAAGCATACGAATACACCGACATCAAACTCAATTTTTTGTCCATGTTTATCTCTATCGGGACTCACATCGCGATTCCATTCATCATGGGCGTCATCCTCGAAAAACAAGGCTATACCGTAAACTGGATCCAGCAAGTCCTCCTCTGGACCGTGAGGCCCCGTATCGCGCCTATCATCGCCATCCTAGGCTTCATAAACGCCAGTTGGATGGAAATCGCCATCAACGAAATGGTCGCCGACTTGCTCTTCTGCATCCCCGCAACCAATTTCGCTGTTTTCGCTGCCTTTTTCCCAAACAAAACCAAGAACCCCGCAAAACCAGATTTGTACAAAATCTACCATGCCGGCGGTATCATCATGCTCATCCCCGGAGTTATTCTAACTTTCACTCTGCTGGTCTCTTTTTGCCTGAAATGTGCACCCATTCGCGCTTTCAAGTATCCATTCCAGGATCTTTGGCGCCTGGTATCTAATCCTTTCCGCAAGTTGATGAAGAAAGAGCAGTTGGAGAAAAGGACTGTGCATATCAGTGTGTTCAAAGGCTGGTTTATTATTTTCTTCTTCCTGGGGATTATTTTGTATGTAGGAAGTTGGATGGTTTGGGCAAGTTTCTTGAAGATGGCAGGGGAGTTGTATTGTCCGGCAAAGTTGAATAAGATTGGGGCGGTGCTATTTGCATATCCGGTGGTGCTGAATGCATTGAGGGTTGGGGTGCAGAGTTTATGATGAGTGGCCATCTGGGAGAATCTTGACTTGGGTAGGGCTGAAAGTTGTATGTATATTCTTACTTCTGCCATTGATATCTACCATTTGCATACTGGTTTGAAATAAACCTGGCTTCTGAAGATTTCTCGAAAGATTCTGTACGGTTTTTCAACTTCAATATCTTGTCTATCTATACTGGGCTGAATTTGTCACAAATTCGTCGATTTTAGCGAGGCTCGCGTCTTTATATAGAAATTTATGTACGTTTCGGGGCTGGATGGTAAGTTACATAGTAAATCCTGAACTTCAGGCACTGGGAGCCGAATATACGCCCACAAAATACCATTTGAGACTTCAACCTGGATGGAATTGTAACCCGTGACAAGAGTTAGGATTGCACCGCGGTGTTTAGTCTGGCGTGCATTTGGAGTAGATTATACCCAAAATTTAGGGAAAAGATTAAACCGCGTGATTCTGGATCACTCACCATGAACAGGGGATGGTGGTCATAAAGTAGTGACTACTAACTGTTGCGTTTGCCAAAAGGTCAACCTCCTAGCTAGCACAGCAGAAGGATATATATAGACGGATAGCTGTACGCGACACCAACCTATCCACCAAGTTCTCTAGTGCCGCTATCAGAAGTCGTCGTCATTGTGCCGATCCTGTAGGCTTTCCACCTAAGAACCAAGTATTTCATGCATCATCAGATCTTCGACTTGCGTGCAGCTTCACATCCACAATTGGCGTTAGATGCGAGAAGAATTGGGGCGGGAGTCTGTGAGTGGTGGATTGGAGGGAGGGGGTTCGACTTGGACTCTTAGTGTCAAAATCTGGCCTGGACCTTTGGCCCGCATCCAGTCTCTGTATCCCTAGAAAGTTGCGTACCTTACCGCATTGAGTTATTCTACTAACTCCACATGTGACAAAGTACTGATCTTGGTTTTAGAAATGGTTACTCGGCCATAGGCTTTCTCATCGGCTAGCGGCGACTGCAATCGACATACCAACAGTTATTCTATCAAGCATAAAAATAGTCCCGGATCCTATTGAGACTTCCTAGCCGATGAAGACACGGCCAATCGTCAACCAGTAACGTCTATGGCTGTGTTAGGATCATGCAACTTTGCATATCTCGGCTGGAAAGGTGACGCCAGCATCGCTGGGCCAAACATCGAAATCCTCCAATGATTGCCTTTACGCGCTAACAACTCTCCGACTTGGCAGAGGCTTCCCACCCTCCGCGTAAGACCTCTACACATTTGCTACAACAATATTGAGGTGGGTGCGTAGAAGATTTACCCTTTGGGGAAATATCGCGGAAGGCCTAATATTGTGCAGTGCTGAGGATCACGCTTTCAAGACCAACTACCTCGTATCGAACTGATTCACGACTTGTTGGAATACAATCTCGCAAAAAAGTGGGGAGATCTAAAGGTGTATAAAGATGGACTATCGCCGTCTATGAACTTTTGACTACCGAATGTCCCATATCATCTTTCTTGCTCTTCAATATAACACCGAACATATCCTCCTCTCTCCTAGCTCTCTCAGAGTAACCCGTATGCAAATTCCCAAGGTGAAACTCACACAGCATTCCAAACTTTCATATTTGATGTCTAATATACAAGCTAGATGCACCTTACTATCACCTACTTCGTTGTTGCTCTCGCCACCTCCCCTCTGGTATCGGCAACTGTCTTCCTCGGAACTCGAACGAATTCGGATGGTAGCGTAACTAGAATTGGATAGTATGCTTCAACTCTATCATGTATCTTCTCCTGTTAATGGTTCCAGCACGAATGCGGCTACCGACGCTTGCTCCGACTTCACTACTATCACGAACGGCGCAGGAGCGAACCCATGCGGCATTACTTGGAACTACCACGGCCTCGAGTATACTTTTCAAGGGTGCGGTACTTCCAGCTTTATTGTCAATGACAGCAATGGTTTTAATTCTGTTTGCCATTTTGATGGCTCGGCATTCGATTGCCAGGGAGGGAAGATTCATGTCACCCAAGATTGGGGATGTTTCTAACTTGTGGAATCTTGGGATAATCGCAAATTTTGCGCTGCTTAGGTGCTCATTTGGGAAAATGTAATGTTCTCAGCCGTTCGCTAAAATTCTTCAGCTAGCAGAAATTCATCCACATTCATTGACTGCCTAATGACAAGTTGTCTATACCCTACCTGAAGACCAGGTCTAAATGTAATCACTCCCACTTCTTCAGCAAGCCTTCATTGCCTTGTAATCTTTCCGAATAATATCTGCATGCTTTTCTCTTCTTAGGGTAGTTTTCACCTTGAATGGCAAATGTTGATGCAAGAAGCTTCGCTATAAGCATCTATATCTCGTTAACTTTTAGCTTCCACATCACCTCATCCAGCGCTGGCTCAATCTTGAAAGCCCAAAGTGTCTCACGTGACATTAGTTCACTTGACCCTGCGTCAGGGTGAATGTGGGTCCGGACTCATACCTGCTTCCTGTTTAGGACTAGCGCCTAACTGATTCAGACTAGAGCTCTTTTATCCACTATATGTTTACCTCTGAGCTCTCTGAAGCTCTAGAGACCTTACTCTACATCTCAATCTACCTAGTCTGGCTCTCACTACCTAATTGACTACTCGCACCTCCATTGCCCCTCCATCAGCTCCATCCAGGCTACCCGCAATACAAAGCAGGTGGGCGACAATACGCCATTGGGTCCGCTGGGCCATATGGATGCCCAGACAAATGCTCCCACCGGCTCCGTATGCGGAATTACCGTGATTCGTATAGTCTGGACTTCCAGCGTAAGGCATTGTAAGTTTTAGATGACTCGAGTAGCGATTGGGATTGTATGTTTCCCCGTCTTCATACTCGATCTGGTGCAAAGGGTATGCAGGGAGGAAAACTGTAGTCTTTGGGGATAAGCATGCCATCAAGCTAATCTCTGTGACTAGCATGTTGTGCGATGCTGACGGGAAGGCTTAAGTGAACGTGCCAGAGCTTGGAAATCATGGCTGAACTGAAACATAATGACATAAAAGGCACTGACACTGGTGGAATCCACAAACCCTCTTTCACTATGCAGTTGATGTAAGGGGGTGGTCAAATCGGACCACATTGGCCGTCTCTCGATCTCGATCTCGCTCCACTCGCGCTTTTCTTAAACCCATAGTGCTAAAAATAGTATGGTGGTACGCATCACGCAAGCCATTGTATCTGCTCCACCTTGCTAAACAGTGCCGAGGAAGTTGTTGAATTGGTTATAGCTTAGTCTCATGTCCAATTCCAACTCACCACCAAAAAGTCTGCCAGTGAGGGATAAACGTTCATCCCCTACCTTCCTGGGTGCTTCAACTTGATTCCGAGCTTCCGCCCAGATGAAAGTCATGAGCTGGTAGCATTATTTTACGCGATACTTGGGTAGTGTCCCACGGCCAGGGATGTACTTCAAAATCGGGAATTGCTCAATTGGCATGTTCTAGGTTCGAGGCTTGTGCTTATCTAGAAACCACATCAACAGAAGTATTCCTAGTCGATTATTCAAAATGCATAAGGCGTAACTCACCTTGTGCCCCGAGTGGGCACTATCTTGTCAACTAGTACTCTTAGTGAACGTATTTAGGCAACCACTTTTCTCTCTGCACGACACAGTGGTGTATTCATCATAGCCATATTATCATAGCTAAGAGCAAGAGTACTGGGAAGCTATTGGGAGCACTGGAGATATGAGTAACTGGATTGATTGCTAAAGGAGGGTACTTAAGGGTCTATCTATGTAAGGCGTGAGCTAGGTAGCAGTTAGGCAGCATATGACTATAGCACGTGGTGGAGATTGGAGAGCTCCGCTACTGCACAGAGTTGCTTTTATGATCAACTGCACGATCAGAGCATAGGGCACTACATTCGTTGATAGGGTTATGTACAGCTCGGCTGTTGTTCAATACAATAATAGTGCCAGCGCCGACTTTCATCAAGCGTATACAACCCTTTTTGAGCAATGGGACATAGTGGTGGTGTAGGAAATTTACTCCACATGGAAATCTGTTAACGGAATCTGGCGCGCATGGCCCAGAATCAGAAGGGCTGGGGGTCCGGGGGGTGTACACCTATCCCCGAGAACCGAAACGATAGATTTGAAAGAGGAAGCACGAACCAAATTACAAAAAAGGATTCCAAGAGGGGAGGGAGTATAGCGTTCATCCTTGCCAGGATTTGGCGAGGTCCGCACAATATACATGGAATTTCGTGTGCGAAGAACGTAGGAAGGGTTTCTACCTACCTGTCTTTGTCGTCGCAAAGAGCCTCTTAAGGGATCTTTGCCGATGACATGGAAAAATAAGGATACCTTAGGAGTATGGAGCTGTAGAGCGTCTATGAGCACGATTGGGTGTGCCAGCTGGTAAAATGATAGGGTTGGACAGGGGTAGCCGCATTTTTGGGAGCGGGACTTGTGTCACATGTCGCTTAGAACATTCACTACATCGGGGGAATGTCGCATAATTGGTTACAAACACTAAGCCCTCTGAAGATAAGGCAGCGAAAAAGCACACCTCCACCAAGTTTTGAGAGAAGAGAATTTGTGGTCCTGTCGCTGATGTGATCTGGGTTAGCTTTGGTACGAAAAGGGCCGTTATCACTAAGACGAACATACCAAGTCGAATGCGTTTGACCGTATTACCTGTCATAGCTATGTGGAATTCAAGACATACGCATTTGGATAAGAAAGAGTTACTACGCTCCTTGATGAGCTCACTTTTTCCATTATAGTTAAAGTTATCCTATGTTCTTCAATTCGAAGATATCCATGGTGCTGTCTTGCTTGGCCGTATCCACACATCTTAGGCCAATCCAAAGACTATGAACGAAAATACGGTTATATCCCGAAGCTTTCTGCGCGTCTCCCAACTTCTCTGATCCAAATCACCCGCGTTTTCCTGTCGAGGTCAAAGCACCCTACGGAACTGCGAAGGCTCCAAGCAAATACAAACCACAGGTTCTCGGGATTCTCGTCGCTTTTGGTGTCTTAGCCGCCTTCGTAGTGGCCATCCTGGCAAGAATCGAGCTCGAGCAGAAACATGCGTCAACTCACGAGACGTCCCAAGCCGCTGCTATTGTGCTAAACATCATCACGGTATCTTTGGATCCCTTGCTACAGTCGTGTGCTAGACGTTGGCTTTTGTGTACACAAAGATTATTTGAGACTTGTATTAAACTAAGAAACTCTGACGATAGCTGAGCTAATCGTCTGCTGTTAAGCCTTGAGAGTCCTGAATTGCCTAGTCTACAAGTTTGAACGAGTTCTTATATATGCTTAGCAAGTGTCTGTAGAACGATTCAAATATTGCGCCTAACTAACCTAGCCGTTACCTATTTTCAGCAACACTTACCCTGAATGGGGACAATCATCCACTTGCACTTTCTCCCATTTAGCTAAAACATTTGAATAGGCTACGAAACTGGAGTTATTAACCCCTCGGGTGTGTCGTTGAAGCCGTACACATTCCTTCATTAGACTTATAGCTTCCACATCTCGACCTTGTCCTTTGCGTGTGAAGGCAAGATTGTTCATGCTGGTCAGCGTGGAAGGATGGTCTGCTCCGAGGTTCTTCTTGCGAATCTCTATTACTTGCACCTCTAGCTCTTCGGCTGCGTCCCATCGGCCTTGATTCCAGTACGTTGACGCCAGGATGGCCATGCTGGTCAGCGT